CTTATATTACCGTAATAACCAACATAACATAAAGTAGCTTTAAAATTGGCCTGTGTTTGCTTGATTGTTGTTCGGTGGGTTTCTGAGCACAACTTTGCATCCCAGAAAGATTCGGAATCTTTCTGGGATGCAAATCTCAGTCCTATTAACTATGTACATATCTATGTTTAACTTATTTGGCACTGTACATAGCTAACCTTGCTAATCGGAGGTGCAGGGGAAGAACAACAAACTAAACACAACAACGCAGTTCTAAAGAAATACGTTTTCAATTTAGTATAGTAGTGTAGTGTATAGTTGTGTATATAGTGCATTTTATAGTGTATATAGTAGTGTAGTGTATAGCAGTGTCGTGGGTAGTCGTGTGAAGTGAACCTTGTAACCTCGGCCACCTCTTATCACCCCGGCGCGACAGCATTTGTCTATACTGTTACAGAACTAAACACAACAAGCGGTTATGAATAAATTAGTTTATTAATGTAATATAATGGTGTAGTGTATAGTGTAGTATATAGTAGTGTATAGTATGCAGTGTGTAGTCTGTAGTGTATGTATGTTGACCTTTCGCACCGTACGTAGCCAACCGTGCAAATCGGAGGTGGGGGATAGACCATGATTGATGGATAACTAGTAGGACAACTAAAGAATTTCAGGTACTTGGACGTATTGACCATGGAACATGAACGATGTGTGGTGGAAATAAGATTATTGACTGTTAGCGGAAGGGCCGTTCAGCAAAGAGGAAAGAGTTGCTGACAAGTGCGATGAGCGAGTGGTAGGGAAGACGGGGGGAGTCAGGAAAAGGGAGTGGAGTGTGGCTTTGCATGGAGTGGAAACGTGGACACTGAGAAAGGGCGATGTGAGACGGTTAGAAGGGTTCAAGATCATGAGCGTTTTTTCTACGTGTGTGTGTGTTGAACTTCTTTGGCACCGTACATAGCCAACCGTGCTAATTGGAGGTGTGGGGGAAGAACATAAACACACAACCAGCAGTTAGAGAAACTAGTTTTCAATGTAATATTGTGGTGAAGTGTATAGTGTAGTATATAATGTAATGTAAAGTGTAGTGTAGTATACAGTAGTGTATAGTTTATAGTGTGTAGTCTGTAGTGTATGTGTTTTGGACTTTCACACCGTGCATAGCCAACCATGCTAATTGAAGGTGCAGGGGAAGGTGAGGGTTGCTAATTTTTAACAAGGGAGAGAGGAGTTCGGATCCATTTTCTCTCCCATGCAATTCTTTCACAATTTTTTAGGGCACCTTTGCGGATTTGGAAACACGCTTTAACGGCGACAGAAAACAAACTCGATATAGAATGCAATCAATCTTAAACATTTGAAATGTATGAACTATGCCTTGGTTAGTTTTGCACTATTGACACGATGCACAAGCACACGAACCAACTGTGGCGGATAATAATTTATTGATCACCAACTACAGTGTTCTGAGAATATGAATGATGCCAGGTAAAGTGTGAGGCCAACCACAAAGCCGCGAATTCGAGTCCACGCTTCTCCCCACTGTTGACGTACCAAAGTGTTCAAACACAGCGGCCTGGGTTCAAACGCAGCGGCCTGGGTTGAGACACAACAGCCTGGGTTCAAACACAGTGGCCTGGGTTCAAACAGCAGCCACCGATTGGCTCGATGGATATAATCTCCTGCGCCGTGAAGCTGAAGGTTGAGGGTTTGAATTCAGGACTCTCCACGTTTTATTTCCCGTTCATTCATGTCTAATTCATGCAGATGATCTCTATGCACTTTTGATAAGTTGAATTGGCAAAATGTAGTTGTCCGCACTATTAAATCACATGAAGAAAAAGTAATTCCAATGAGTAATATTTTAATATTCATAATGCAGAGTCACTATTATTAGACTTAGTAAAAGTATAACCCACTTAGATAGACATAAATCAGATATAGCTTTAATCATTGAATATGCACGAGTAATGAGTTTTGGATAAAAAGTGCAGTTTTTGGTATTTTCAAGAAACATTTTGGATCTTTTTTAAATGAAAGTTCCGATTGTGTACATTATTGTCTGCGTGTTAAACACAAATTAAGTCACCCAATATCCAGTGACATTTTCTGAGGGGGCGAGGTTGGGAAAAGCGACGTCACCATAATCACTAATGACGTCACTGTCTCTGTGGATCATTCCAAAAACATATTTTTCAAAATTACATTAAATTCACGATTCCACTTTTCGGATGGTTTTGTTTTCCGAATTAAAAAAAATGCGAACACACCCCAAGTACGCACGTATGATTAAGCGTCCCTCTATCAATTTAAGGATTTCGACATCCAAGACTCTCGTAGATGTTAAATAAAAAGCTACAACGCGTGATTACGTTCCCTTAAATGTTCAGCCACATACCAACTACATAAAAGTGTACTACATTGATAATAATTAGTGATCACACTCACATTTAACTTCGACAGATGATTACATTCATTATCTGCACACTTCAGCATCTCATTGATTCACTGTCCCTTTCATTGTTGGCCTCTGAAGGCTCTTGGAGTGTCTCTTCCAATACAAGTGTGGCTCACAGAGATATATAGAAGTACAAGATTAATGAAAAGTAAAAATAGGTTTTTACCCTATCAATAAAACAGTTGTGTTAGGATGTTCAAACACCAAATAGATACAGCTTTTGCAAGGCATCAAGTCTGCATTAACCACACATACTTGTGGCAAAACATGGGGAAAAACATGCTCTAATAACAATATACACAATGTCTTTGAAACTGATTGGCCTCACCACCAGTGTTAAACCAGAGAACGCCAAAAGGCAAATATCGATTTTTACAATAGAAAGTGGCGGTCGTGCGACAAACATTCCTGTCGATGACACAGTGGATGGGACGGTGCTGCTCCCCTACCGTATGGGACCTCAGGTGACTTTAAGGGGCTCTCAGAAGTATAAGTAGTTCCATTTCGATTTAAAGCTTTCGTGACTGCAGAGGTTAATCTTCTTGGTTCTTTCGGTAAAGTCACGTAGAAGGGAAATTTTGTTTTATTTTTATTATTTCATTACTTCCCTTCTACGTGACTTTACCGAAAGAACCAAGAAGAAGTAGTTCCATGTTATCCCGCTTTTATAAAAATGGGGAAAACATAAAAAAAAAATGTTTCTAGTTGATCTACGTTTAATTTCTCCAAAACACTGAACCCATCACGCTAAACGCATTGCCTTTGATGGGTTATTTCCTGCTTTAAGAATACACACTTAATGCGGATGGCTTCACGGTATGGAAGACGTGAAAAGCCAACGCGTCATCTCAAACATCGATACACGTACCGACATCTTGTTGTTTGGCGTTTTAATTCAACGGGGTCTGGGGTGAAACACGGTCACCTCAGCTGAAATAATGGGCCACTACCGCCGAGAAAAGTAGCGCGACAATAACGGCTGCGACGTCTGGCAAGCGCTTCCGGCCATTTCCTTTGGGCGCGCTCGTTCCTTGGGTTTCGTTGGTGGTGGCAGGCGTTGAGTGCGTTGCAATGCTGCCCGCTGCGCTGCTCGTGTTAGAAGGATTCTGCGTCTGAGCCGTTGTCGAGGCTTGCTTTGATGGAATAACGCTCTGCAATTGGGACGACGTTACCGCGCTCCTGGTGCTAGTAGTGGTGGTGGTTGTTGTTGTCGTTGGGGTAGATGTCAGTGTTGAAAGATTTGTGGATGTGGATGCTGCGGTATTGCTAGCACCATCGGGTATCACCGTCTTCGTAGTAGGAGTCATTGTGGATGTCGCATTGGTCTGTGTGGACGATGTTGTATTACTGGTACTATTTGGCATTGATGAATTCATAGGTGTGGTGGTTACATTTGATGGGATTGCATTGGTCTGTGTAGATGAAGTTGTATTACTGGTATTATTTGACATGGGTGAATTCATAGGTGTGGCGGTTGTCACATTTGATGGGATTGCAATAATATGTGTGGCTGATGTCATATCACTGGTACTATTTGACAATGGTGAATTCATAGGTGTGGCAATTGTTACATTTGATGGGATTGCATTGGTCAGTGTAGACGATGTCGTTTTACTGGTACTATTTGGCATTGGTGAATTCATAGGTGTGGCGGTTGTTACATTTGATGGGATTGCATTGGTCAGTGTGGACGATGTCGTATTACTGGTACTATTTGACATTGGTGAATTCATAGGTGTGGCGGTTGTAACATTTGATGGTATTGCATTGGTCTGTGTGGCTGATGTCATATTACTGGTACTATTTGACATTGGTGAATTCATAGGTGTGGCGGTTGTCACATTTGATGGGATTGCATCGGTCTGTGTGGGCGATGTCTTATTACTGGTACTATTTGGCATTGGTGAATTCATAGGTGTGGCGGTTGTTACATTTGATGGAATTGCATTGGTCAGTGTGGACGATGTCGTATTACTGGTGCTATTTGACATTGGTGAATTCATAGGTGTGGCGGTTGTAACATTTGATGGGATTGCATTGGTCTGTGTGGCTGATGTCATATTACTGGTACTATTTGACATTGGTGAATTCATAGGTGTGGCGGTTGTCACATTTGATGGGATTGCATCGGTCTGTGTGGGCGATGTCGTATTATTGGTACTCTCTGGCTTTGGAGGATTAATGTTCACGTTTGTGAAAATCCCCATAAGTGGAGCTGTGGTGCTGCTGTATGTGGAGATTGTTGTGTTGACCGACGAGCTGCTAATCACCTGGTTTGTTGTGGCTGTGGTTGAGCCTGGGGGATCACAGTTTTGGACGAGACAAATCTGTACATAGAAGTCTGCGCTCCCTGCCTGGGAAAAATTAAACACCAAATGTCCAAGCTGTGTGTCAGATGAGCCTACGTAGGATGTTACCCAGGCATTTTCCTTCGGAAGGACACGGACTCCGTGTGTGAAACTGATCACCGTTGCCTGGACATTTTTCTCTAACTGGGTGTCGTACTGCACGTAAACCCAGCCAGATTCGTTAGAATAGGTGGTCAGAAAAATATCCATGGTACTGCCCACCGAGCGTGTTCGTCTCACGTCTGTGACGTTCCCGATAGACGTGTCTGTGTAACTCAGGTCCTTGCTGTTGTACAATCTGTCGGGAAGGCCTCTGGAATCAAACTGGGAATCAACAAGAAAGTCCAGAAGGCCATCGTCCTCCATATCTGACAGAAACGAGAGAGGAAAACCTCATCATCAGCACCACGATCTTGTGGAAAACAATAGTAATGATTTACATAAATCTCATGTTGACGTATTGCTTAACATTCGTCAATAACACTGCCTTAATGGTAGTGTGCTGTATCCTATGGATTAAAAAGGTATGCACCCACAACTGTTCAGCAAAGTTGTAAAGAACAACGACAACAACATTCTTACCGGTAAATATGACGTGGGTAAATGTATGACAACTATAATATGGATTACGATAACTGCGTACCCAGCACAAAATAAAGAGCTCAAAATTGTACTGTCTTGTGAGTGGATGCATAACGCTGCTCTCGTCTCAAACTCTTACTTGTGCTGGCTAGGGATGAGTTTAGGAATAAAAAAAAATAGAATTTGGATATTTTCAAACCCTTTTGGGAATGTCATATAATCTCCATGATGTACTGATGCAACTTGTCCTCACGCTAAGGCACCGCCGTTTCTCAAACTTGTTTGGCTCGCGGATCACTAAACCGATGCTGAACGCTCCCGCGGGCCAGCCAGCCCAGAACCTCCACCCCTGGTGGCCAAAACGCATTCAACTTCTCTCTCTAAATACCACGAATACAAAATGATTGAAACTAATTAATATGATCTTCGCACCTGATTGGCTCACAATTCACGATATCACATTTACACCCCGTCTATTTACGACTGAAACAAGAGGATTTCTCTACAACTCTGCCGAAATCCGTTTGGTGGACGGAGGTGGCTAGGTAGTGACTGAGCGGCACACAGATTAGAAGACCACCATTGTAATTTGAGCCTCACGTGTATGTATGTACGTACATTGAACTTCGTTCACGCAGTATATAGCCAAGCGTGCTAATCGGAGGATGGGTGAGTGTGTGGGTGAGTGACTATGTGAGTCTATGTATGGACGTGCGTTGAACTTCGTTCGCGCCATACGTAACCAACCATGCGCCAATTGGAGGCGCACATACCACGTACCTGGGATGCGCACATTCCGGATCAACTTGTGGATCTTCAGCTCGTCCAGAACCGAGAGCCGTGGGTCTCCCAGCGGGTTCTTATTCTGGAAGGTGGCGCTGTAATTCTTGAACTCTCCCAAGAGGCTGCTGGTCATCCACCAGCGTGCCACCTTGGTCTCGAACGGCTGTAGGTCCCCGAATAGCACCTGCAGGGAGCTGGACATGGGCTCGGAGCCTAAGGTTGCACCGATGATCTGGAACTTGACCAGGAGGCCCTTCTTGTTGGAAACAATCTCCGGCTGTCCCGAGGTGATCTCCAGCTTCGTGGCCACACCATAGCCCTTGTTGCGGACCTGCCACGCCCAATGTGAATGGCACCGACGGTTCCACCGCATCGGTCATTGGGTCATCTGAATTCACAAATCTGCAAAGAGACAACGTGCAATACAAAAATGAAATGGTAAAATAGGAAAGGAGGTAAATATTGTCAGTCGTGATCCGTCCACCGCTGGGTTGGATTAAAGAGTCTCCAAGCCACCACCGACTCGATCCTGCGATGTAACAATCCACCGGCTCTCCATCCCCTAGCCCAGTGGTTCTCAACCGGGGGTACGCGATGGATTAATAAAGCAGAAGGGCATCGGTCGAACCCCAGCGTCGTGTCAGCTCGCAATTATGAACGCTTTCCAACCGAGGATGCACAGTGCGTTCACACCATCAGCTCTGCCAGTGTGTAACTCTCAACCATCTAGAGCAGTGGTTCTCAACTGGGGTATGTGGTGGACCTCTCGGGGTACGTGGCAATGTCCCAGGTTGTAACGTGATGAGGTTATTTATATATGCGTGAAATTACTTTATCTTTGGTAAATAATTATCTTGTATGAATCTGGCAATATAATTTAACTACAATAACATTTAAATCCGTACAGTAACCTAGAATTATGTAAAATACCTTTCAAACTCACCGATAGTAAACAATGCGGGTTTCCAAGAGTAACCGACGAGCATTAACAAATGACGTCACGCGTGCCGAGCGTCCGTTGAATATGTTTTTTATTTTGCTCGCAGTTACTAGCTGGTTAGCATACCTCACAAAATGGACAATTGGTTGAATCGTGGACTAACCCTTGTGGCTGAAGTATTTTTTCGCATGTCAAGAATTGTGAAATCTTTATAAAGTCATGCAGATGAAGAGGGCGCCTGGTGGTGTTGAGCCGGCACTGCTGAGATCCCGGTTTCAAATTCAGGTTTCAGTCACCTGAGTAACCTTTTCCCATTCCGACGATGTACGTGTATGCAGATGTAATACGAGAGTACACCGACGGTCGCCGATCGGTGGGATAGGCTCCGCCACTTCAGCCATTAGCCAATCAGGGGGATGGGATCATCTGGGCCAAAGTTCAAGGGCAGAGCTCAAGGGTGCTCGTGGGGAGCCATCTGGAGGGTTCGTAAGGGGGCGTGGCTAGAGGCAGCATCCTTGGGACGCTGGCGAGTACAGCGACAACTCGCCCCAGGCAGGGACGGTGAGCCACCATGAGTACGTCTATGAGGTGAGAAGCAGAGTAAGGGTCCACCCAGGGATTGAATAGGAATAGACTGGACACTGCTCGCTGAGAAGTTCGCTCTGGGGCCCGGGCCACGCAGGGTTTTCGGCGTTGTGCGTAATTCGAGCGTGTGTATGGGAGGCACGCAGGCAGTAATTCATTCACGGCCCCCGCGTCTGTGCCTGGTGCTTGCACTCGCGTGCGTGTGTAGTGCCATAAGAGGGGCCACTGCCAGCCCAAGAGGGGAGGGGCTGCTGGGGGCTCTGGGATCCTAGACAGATAAGCCCCGGCGCCAGGCGCTAGGATCCCAGGCAACCCAGACGCTTAAGCCCCTTGGCACCACCAACGGGGGGGGGGGGGGGGGGGGGGGGGCTGTGTGTGTTCTGTGGGATATCTGGGGGCATACACAGCCCCACCCCTCGTTGGGGACGAGGCATAAAAGGGCAGCTCCCTGGCCGATCGGAGCCAGTCGCAGCTCAAGCCCCAAAACCTGCCAGCCAGCCAGCTTAGGATCCTGGACCCCCTCGTCCCACTTGTCCTTGTAAGGGCCGGGACGCTGTGAGGGCCAGTGGTGGGACTCTGGGACTCCTGGCTCTACATCCTTGTAAGCGCGAGTTCCGAGGAAGCCAGAGTCCAGACCCACACCTTGGCTCGGTCGGGTCAATTAGCCTCCCCTAGGGTAATTGTAGCCAGAGGACCCCAGAGCGTAGCCAGAGTAGTGTATCTAGGCTGTGTACCTAGGCTGTAACAGGGTATCAGGACTGTTGGAGTGTTGTATTGTAATAAAGAAGTTACCTCTATAAGTGTCTCCGGAACCCATTACAAGTGTTTACACAGCGCGCTTTACGCAGTGTGTTCACGTAGCAACGGTAGCACCCAATGGTGGAACGCGCGAATATTATCGTCAACCCGGCCGTCGTTCTTGCCGGGCACGCGCGTGCCTGCACGGGCACGCGCGTGCCTGCACCTCGGCATTAGTGGTGGTGTTCATACGGCTATTTTTAGCGCGGGCCGTGGCGAGCAACCTGCACCACCTCGGCATTAGTGGTGGTGTTCATACGGATATTTTTTAGCGTGAGGCATGGTGAGCAGCGTCCACCTGCACGGGCACGTGCGTGCAAGTAGCCACCTCGGTATTAGTGGTGGTTTACGTGGGGAGTGTGTGGGGTAACCCGAGGCGGTGGGGAGCCAGCCACTAGCCATGCTTCACAGAGAGGACGCTGGCGTGGGGGAGGCCGATCACCCGATCGGGGGCAGCCCGGTGAGCAGGGACGGAAGAGGGGGGCGTCAGCCCCCACACTACTACTACGCCTCTCGATAAGTAACATTAATGCTGAGAACCGTTGGCGCGTTTTGAGATTTAGTGGTGAATGGGACACCCACCTGACCGATGACGGTCACCGATGATTGAAAAACACAAAAAAAGGTCACCTTGGATTAAGCGAAGCAACAGCATTTTTTTATAAAACATCCAACGGTCATGTAAATATCAATTTGACCGTCACATAACAGAAATAGACAGCATATGACAGATTGAGCTGGAAAGTGGTGGCCTCTGCTACCGAAACCAGAGGTAAATCAAATGGATTTCAGAGGTAGCTCTGTGATATCCGATTTCTTAAAGGGCTGTTCTCTAACACATGAAGGGTTGCAATTGTCCGGATAGTAACAATTGGAATATAATTGGGGTAAGAAAAAAATGTAAGCAAGATGGGCACCTCTCCAAGAAGTAATGTATGGTGAGTCTTGGATCAGGTGCAATGGTGATCGTCTCAGGGTACAGGGGGATCTCTACCAAGGATCCACCTGTAACAGATCACATGCATACACACAAACAAAGACAAAAATCCCCCGTGTAGCCTTAACAGACTGTTGGGGCAAGTGCTGTTCGTATCGAGTAACAGGTCTCAGAATGCCGGCACCGTGGCACACGAAGGGGTGGGTGGTCAGTTACATGCCCGGCTACCTTTGTCTCCCGAGTAGCGATGTTTACCACTACACACCACTTCATCAGGTACTCATTTGAGGCTGAGTCCAACTAGGGGAGGTCCAGGACCGGTTTAGATAATCGTCACTGGTGTTGGTGGCCATGAGCGGGAATCAAACTCCCGCAATGCACTAACAGCTACACTCCCGCTCCATACACACACACACGCATAGACACACACAGACACACAATCAGTGCAGCCAAGGTTATCGCAGTTAGGCTTAAATAAAGTTTTCTTTGGGTTAGAGCGCGTAAATATAAATGTGCCGTTAAACCCGCCACCACTCGACACAGCCAATTAGAAAGGGTTTGTCACGTCAATAAAACGTGCCAATTAGTTACTAGTTCAGCACTAACCAGTTGTGTGTTGGCAGAGTAAAACCCATAACTACAATATTTACAATTATCGTGTAGTATATAATTTACTGAATAGTATAATATACTAGTTCACTCACCGGTTGTGTGTTGGAGAGTTAAACCCACCAAAACCTTTACAATTATAGTGTAGTGTATAATGTAGTGTACAGTGTAGTATAATAGTTCAGCACTCACCAGTTGTGTTAGAGACTAAATCCCACAACTACAATGTGTACAATTCGGAGTAGCTGGTGACGTTTCGCCGGTGATTACAATAACAACCAGCCTCTTCAGGTGATTAGCAGGAATTGTGAAGAAAGTTTCCTGTTTCGCAAAGCGCCCTTACTACATGTTAAACTGCAATTTGGCCTTACGAAGGAAGCGTTTCATCTCCAGATAAAAACAATGTGGCCCAATTAGTGGGCAATCTTGCCTCAGAAAATGCTTGCTGCATCACCATCGCATGCAGCTTACGTTGAGCTGATGTTCCTATGCCCTCACCCAGAGCCCAACTTTGCAGCCCTTCTGCACAAACTTATTCAACCATTCCCTGCAGTTAATTTACCATCGGGTGCTCTTCATAACCAATTGAAACATCTACGGTGGTTGATACTTGATCTATTTTGTCTGCATCCAGTCGATCATCGATTATATCTGGCGAATTCGTGGGGGCAGGGAAGGGGGGCGCCGGATTTTCAAAAACGCCGGATAATCACTAAATCATCATTATTATCTAAAATAGCTTATTTTTGCACAATCTTGCATGGCATTATGTGCTTACGTGTTGTATATGTCTTTTTTAGTGTTTTAAATTTGCTACCTATGTAAAATTGGCATAAATAAACATACAAAGACAAAAATAAATATCCTACTGTAAAAAGTTACTATTTACTGGACTGTACTTACCACTCTAATCTCGAAGACTCTGCATCACGGGGTGATGTACGCAGTACCACTACGCTCTTGTTTCAACAACAAGATGGGTTTGACGATCACCGGACTGAGTCACAAGCCTTTGGAGCGTCTTTTTTCCCATTTCGCCAGATCTATCTGGGACCGCTGGATAATGTTGGAAGCAGCCTGATAATTGCGCAGTGCCGGATAATCAATGATCAACTGTTTTTCCTTTAATTTTCCAAATACATTTTTTGTAAAGCTTTGAATAATTGTGGAGAAAAGTGCTTGTAGATGTTTTAAATCTGGGACAGTAGAACCCCCTTTTAACGATGAAAACCAGTCATTAAGTGATTTGATTGTTAAGCAAGTAAAGAAAATACGCGATAAAGGCTTAATTTGTTCCGATAACATCTAACGTTACACGTACTTTATAATATTTAAAGAATGAATATCCATACATAAAGATATTAACAACATTAAAAACACAATATTAAAAGAAACATGGTTAATCAATGCATTTATTCATATTTACTGTAGCTACAACAGCCCGTAGTTAAGAGGGGAATGGTCGGTGAGTGAACATATTCGGCTCTATGGAGGCCTGTACTTAAGTGATTAGTCGTTAACAGGGGTGGTCGTTAAGATGGATTATATTCTAAGTTTCCTTTGTGGCTGCGACTGGGTAACATTTTAAGCAAGGTTTCTCTACCCCAGTCGTTCTTCACTACTTTTCAGAGTAGGGGGTTGTCACTCTTTGTGAATTGTGCTGTGGGGGGCGGGGCGAATGTCAGGGGCCCGCACCAATGGCCTCCGGGTGGCCTTGCAACAAATAATGAAGAAGAATGCAATGAAGATGAACACTGCTATAATAATTAATACAATAAATAAGAACACTGATACAATAAAGAAAGACACAATGAAGCACACAATGAAGCAGAGCACCGCTCTACCCTGGCGCAGGTACGTTACCCAGCATGTAGGAGAAGAGGCCAGACACGTCGTACTGGGTGTCGTGCGTGGGCGCGGCCTCGCTGTAGGCGACCATGAGCCACTCGGCACTCCCTGAAGACGTCGGCTCTAGCCGGCCGTCTCTACTCACGCCGCTCAGACCTCCTGACACAGCAGGGCTGCCTACAAGTGAGAGACAGACGGTGGTTACGTTGCGTCGCGCTTCCAAGGCTCTAAAGAGATAACTTCCAGTCTGGCGGGCGGCGCGTTCATTCCCACGTGCATCTACCCCAAATGCTAGTGCACGGTACAGGGAAAGCAGTGCGTGCGTTGGCACGTCAACGAATGATCGACAGGATCGGGCGAGCGGCTTCATGTTCGAATGTACAGAATTCAGATTCGAGGGACAATCGACGTGGCGTACCGATGGAGAAGAGGTGGTTGGACTCGGACTTGTTGTCGTGCCGCTTGATTGTGATCTTCACCTCGATGCTCTCGAGAGGGGAAGCCTCCTGGTTGTTGATTTCCAGCGTCGCCTTTACGGCCTCTCTGGTCAGGGTCAGCTTTTGATCGATTTTGATGCGCACCACGGCGCACACTGCCTTCTGCACACGACGATCAAAGACGCAGAAGGGGCATCGGTCGCCCCCAGTGTCACGTCAGATAGCAATTATGAACACTTTCCAACCGAGGATGCATAGTGCGTTCACACCATCAGCTCTGCCAGTCCAGTGTGTAGAATGGGGCTAGATAACTATCAATCATCTAGAGCAGAAATTCTTAACTGGGGGTACGTGGCGGACCTCTGAGGGTAAGGTGGCAATGTCCCAGGGGGTAAAGTGAGGAGGTTATTTATAAATATGTTAAATTATATCACACATGAAAGACATTGGTGAATAATCACGCATGAATCTGCCGAAATAAAATAACTACAATAACTTTGAAATTCGTACGGTAACCTAGAACGATATGAAAACCTTTCTAAACTCACCAATGATAAACAATGCGGGTTTCCAAGAGTAACCAGCGAGCATGAGCAAATTACGTCACGTGTGCAGAGCGTCCGTTGAATTTTGTTTTGATTTGCTTGCAGTTACTACTAGCTAATTATGACATAATCTCACAAAATGGGACAATTGGTTAAAATATCGAGGTATTACAAGGTTGAGAACCACTGGTATAGAGCCCTGAGGCCGGGGGTGGAAATTCCACGTTCCTATGGCAGGTGAAATTCTTTCCATAGGACAACCACCTGATGATTTACCAAAAAAAGTGTTATAGTTTTTTTTTTATCAACCCCGCAATGCTTGATGGGGCTGAGTCAACCCCCCCCTACCCCCACCAGATATTTTACTTGGAACCTTCTGACCGCTAGCCATCCGGGCTCTGGTTCCCACCCACCTGGTATGGAGTGGAAGGGGTGCACCTTCAGCTTTGTAATTGCATCTCGGGGTTAGCCGAGCGTGTTAACCCGTAACTCATTAACCTCATTCACCCAACAACGTTACCTTCTCCTCGGGCTTCTCCAAGGCATTGTAGGCGACTTGGAACATCTCCGCTAAGGATGAGTATCCAGCCTGCATGGCAAGAAAAAATTGAAGCTCAAATATCATTGCCGCACAACGACCCATGCAGCACCTCTCACATTAACTGTCCACGTAAATGATTGATCTAAGTTATACATATTTTCGTTTGGCCACATCGTGATCTGGCCAAATTTCCATCCTTATGACCCCCTGCACCACCCGATGCAGCCAAACAAAATAAAATTGCCACAAGTATGACGTGGGGTTCATGCAGACATAATGCGTTGCAAAAAGGTATCTATTTGTTATATGAAAATTTTAAAATACCTATTTTTTTTTTCACAAAGGGTATTCAAACCTTTTCTTGTTTTTAATCATTTTTGATAATGGCAAAAAAGGTATCCCATAGATATAAGGAATCAAGTCTGCATTAACCACACATACTTGTGGTGGACATGCCAAAAACCACACTGATAATATATGCATTCCGTTAGATAATTAATGGCCTACACCAGAAACAGCCTTCTTTAGGGCCTAGTCTCACCAGTGTCAGACCATAGAATGCCAAAAGGCAAAGAGTACAAAGACAATGCACGATCAGCGCATTTATAGCTCGGTGAGCAGCTATAAAAAATGGGACCTTTTGCCAGTAGTATGAAAAAAAATTGTTTTTACCCTTTCTGCCAATAAAACAGGTTATTATGATGTTTGTTTGCATGTTCATCACAAGTACTGTGTGTGGTTAATGCAAACTCGATGCCTGGCAAAAAGGTTCCTATTTGGTGTTTGAACATCTTCACACCTCCTGTTTTAATGCCAGAAAGGGTAAAACCTATTCTTATTCTGCATTAAAAGTAAATTGTCAAGTTTTTTCATGTGCCAACTACGATTATCCGTTCAGCTTAAGAGTAAGTAGAAAAACCTATTTTCACAATTAGAAAACGACGTTGCATTTGAGGCAACGGTCATGGTGCCTAGGAGATGTTAACTCCCTCGCCTGGTATGCAGGTCGTGGGTTCGATCCCGACCCCGACTACGCCTGCTGCATATCTGAAGTTTGCATGTTCTCCCCGTGGTCGCATGGATTTTTCTCCGGGTTCCCCGGCTTTCCCCCTCCACATTTAGAAACAAGCATTTAGAGTACTCTTTGGTTCTTTCGGTAAAGTCACGTAGGTATAAAATAAATTAAATGTAAACACGACGTTTCGGGCGCAACATAAGCGTCAGTCATCAGGTTGGACAACCACAGCAAGAAACAACTGCTGAAGTGGGAAAAAGGGCTGTCGTGACAGGCAAGAGAGGGGGGAGGAACAAGGGAGGAGAGATAGAGAGGGGGGGTGTGGGGTAGGTGAAGTGGAGCGCTGCTAGAGGGATTAGAAGACGAGCAAGGCCGTGACTATTAATGTCCACGTGATGATAAGCCACTTCGTTGGAAGATCAACTGTGATAACCAGGTTGCTTCTTAAAACGAGCGACATAGCAGCTTAGTTGGCCTTATCTGGTAAAATGCAAAATAGTTTTAAGAGTTTGGTATCGTGGCCTAGCAGTAGCACGTACGTTGCTTACTGCAGAATAAGGACTATTCTATTATTTGGGTCTTTCGATAAAGTCACGTAGATAGGTTCAAAGAAAATATCAAAATAACAAAACACTACGACGTTTCGACCGCTTGTGTTGCGGTCGAAACATCATAGTTTTTTGTTATTTTGTTTGAACCTATCTACGTGACTTTACCGAAAGACCCAAATAATATGAATTCCTACAGTCACGAAAGCTTCAAGTCAAGATTTAAGGCTACGTACGATGGGTGCGAAACAAGTTTAACATGCAGTATATACAACATATTACATGCAGAGCTTCACAGTTCGGATCCAGTGATGATTGCCGTGGGTGTAAATGGCCCCAACAACGCTACACACAGTGGATGTTAAAGATCCCCTGACATCACATGCAAGAGTAGGCCATTTGTGTGCCAGGGTCAGGGTAAACATTTGTCAAGTAAATAAAGAAAAACGTAACCACATTATCGAACTGTGATTATACACAACAATCATTGCTCCTTTACTGGCAGGCTAAAGCCCCATGTCACTCTTGTAAAAGGGACTATCCTAGTATCTTTTGGGTTCTCACCTGGTTAGACAAAATAAACTTGGTGCATCTTCAGGACAAGATCAAGAAGTCAGAATCATATCCAGGAAATTAGAATAACCATGTCTCCCTCGCCCAACTTCTTAACGTGACATCATGGGAACAACAGATCGGATGTACACTAGATATTAACAATGTCTAATTAATTAATTTTAATTATATTGTAATTTATATGGGCCAATTATCATTATACGCATTATACATTGATACTCACTCAATGTACTAATCTTAGGCAGGATAAGCGTTATGTCAAATGATACTTAAAATAAATACCAGAAATGTTAAAAAGTTTGAGAATTATTGAATACACAACCTAGTTCTTAATAATGCATCCAAGTAATTTTTATAACCACCTCTTCTGCCAGCTTGAGGTCCGTGACAACAGCCCGAGTGAGCTCGCTGTATCGTTGGTAGTCGATGATGTTGGAGTGGTTTGCCGAGTCTGTGATGCCAGCAGCCCACAGCGAGTGGGTGTCATTCCATCGCTGCAGGAACTGCTCCACCATGGCCTGGCTCACATTTCCTTACGGGATTTAAACAAGGACACAAAATCTCACATACACACTTACAAAACAAAGACAAATAGTCGCCGTATAGCCTTAACATACTGTTGGGGCAAGTGTTGTTAACGAGCACCTATGAAGGCCGGAACGGCATATGAGGGAGGGGGTAGGTGGCCAGAACCATGCCCGACCGCTTTTGTCTCCCCAGTGGCGATGATTACACACCACACCAGGTACTCATTTGAGGCTGAGTCGACCTTGGGGAGGCCCAGGACCGGTTCAAATAATTATCACTGGTGTTGGTAGCCGTGAGCGGGAATCGATCAGGTCGCCGGGTTCGTAGCACATCGTAGCACAGCGTAGCGCTAACCGTTACTCCAACGCTCCCCAAACACACGCATTATGAAAGCGTCGTTCATTTCGTGAATTAAATATTGAATGAAAATGTCAAGGTGTTTTATTTTATTTTAGCCAATGATTAATGGGTTAGACCGGAATCTAGCAAGCGTGATGGCGACGCGTGACTACGAGCCACCAACTACCAGAGCGGGACTATACCGAAATGAAGGAGTCCCGAATGAAGACGCAGACCACGATAACGCGGTTTTTGGTACCACGGTGGCTCGATGTTAAATACATCGCCTGGTATGCAGGAGGTCGTCGGTTCAATCCCGACCCTGATGCCTGCTCTATATTTGGAGTTTGCGTGTCTCTCTCCCTGTGGTCGCGTGGATTTTCTCCAGGCCCTCTTATGTTTCCCTCCACATTTAGAATCAACATCACGCGTTTAGGGTATTTGGCTGCTATACATTTCCACGATGATAAGCCACTTCGTTGAGTTATCATTTGTGATGGCCAGATCGCTTCTGAAAAAGAGCTGTATATATGCAGTGGGCCTTACACCTAGTTAAATAAAACATTTAATAGTTTGGTATTGTGGCCTAGCAACAAAGTGGCTCATCGTGTGGAAATTTGCTAGGTTCATAGGATGCAGCAACAGGACAAGCAGCATGCCACATGCTCATGTATGCTTTTATCGTGCTGTAACCATTTTTAGATGAGTGGCTAGATGTGTGCTTACTTTGTAAGGCGATGTTTGTTTGTACCGTATTTTGTGCTTGGTACAATTATTCCTATTAAATGTATTTATAGCTTAGTAGTGTAGTAGTGTCTAGTTTAGAGTATATTATATTATTTGGGTCTTTCGGTAATGTCACGTAGATATTTATTTGAATCTATCTACGTGACTTTACCGAAAGACCCAAAGAATATGAATTCCTGCAGTCACGAAAGCTTTAAGTCAAGATTTAGTGCATATTATTTTGAGTGTGTGTCGAACTTCTTTTGCACCGTACGTAGCTAACGAGGCGAATCGGAGTTGCGGGGGAAAGGACAAAATAAACACAACAAGCAGTTCTAATGAAATTCGTAATCCATATTAACGTTCCTGTCAATATACTAATGTCCTATTTACCCACATCAGAGTTGCACATTAAAGCACGTGACCTTACCCGGGGTAGGCATAGCTAGAATGTCTGAATATTCAATGTCCAGGATGAGAATTCCTCCGGGGCTGCCGTCATCAATCTTGGGCTTGAAGACGTAATTAAGCCACTTGGCGTCATGCACATTCAGCCTGTACGTAAGAAGACGATGGACCCTCGGTTTCACGAAATAAGAATTTGTAACACACACAAATTAAATTGCGTTCGTGTGTGTGTTAAACTTCTTTCAAACCGTGTTAATTGGAGGTGCTGGGGAAGGACAATAAACTAAACACAACAACAAGCAGTTATAAATAAATTCGTTTTCAATCTAGATGATTTAAAAGTGCACAGCTCCAGTGGCTTCCTAATATTGGAAGGAAAAGCGTCCCAGACCGCTGCAGAAGCAGCGCATCTGAAAGCATCGCGCGATGATGCGGTGACTGTTTTTGTTTGGTGGCGAACGAAAATCCGCTTCTGCTGCTGCGACGAAGACCGGAGTTCGCGTGATGGCTGATTCTCCTTAACGAAACAAGCGAGGTATCGTGGTTCATTTGCGAAACATCCTCGATGGGATGCTTTCCAATGCAATGTAACTGACGTTTGCATCAGCTATATATATCAGTTTTATATAAAACTGATATATTTGAAAATAAAAGTGATATATTTTGAAATATGTCAAACTGATATATTTTAATGCTTAGAGCTGTGGAATTTCACCAAATCAAATGCAGACTCGAATTAAATTCAGATTCAATTCATGCGTGGACTTAGGCCTTTTCGGACACGTTGCCCGGGTGGACGCATCGACAGACTCCGATCAAAACCATCACGTTAATATACATAGCAGGCGTTACCAAAAATGTTTCCAAAATTCTAAACAAATACAAGATCCAGGTCCGATTCGGTACAGTAAACAAAATCCGTGATCTGATCCCATCCGTAAAGGATGTCATCCCTGACTTACAGTACCCTGGTGTCTATAAACTGAGTTGCATTTGTGGTGATTGTTACATGGGGGAAACTAAATGACATGTATCTGACCGCATTCGCGAGCCATGTTAAACTTTAGCCGCCACTCCCCCGCTCCGCGCCCCCCCATCCGTGGTACAGGAGCAATAGTCGGAGCAGCTTTACCATCCTGGCTCCCGACTCCCACACCCCTACCCTGTGTCCGTCCACTCTGGCTCCTCCCCCCTCCTCTTACCCTATATAATAATCTCTCATCACAAATAGCTCTCTCTACAGTAATTTTACTGTGCTATTGACACCTGATGAAGGAATATTGTGTTACCTCCGAAACGTCGTGATTTAATTGAGTTGTTTTCATTTTTGTTTTATTTAATTTTTATTTGTTTTTTACCTACGTGACTTTACCGAAAGAACCAAAGAGTATAAATACTCTAAACGTGTGACGTTGATTCTAAATGTGGAGGGTAAAAACCAGAGGACTTGGTAAAAATCCACACGACCACAGAGAGAGACAGAGACGCAACTCCAAATATACAGCAGGCGTCAGGGTCGGGATCGAATTCACGACCTCCTGTATACCAGACGAGGTAGTTCACATCTCCTAGGCACTGTGGCACACCAAAAGCAGCTGGATTGGAAGAATATACTTAACAAAACACAAACCCATCTCCTGATGTGGAATGCAGATGATTAAATACACCAAAAAAGGCATTCACCATTCTTTATCGCCAAACACTTCGACGGCTAAATCCCACTGTCGTTCTATCGCCCTCAGTGAATCCGCCAGCTGGGCCAGGCTATCCTCTTCAGCAGACCCACGTGTCATCTTGGTGGAGCCCAGGCATTTATTTGGTGCGTCTCGAAGACACGACCTGCAAAAAAAACACAAACAAAACAAAGTAACGTGACGTTTAAGAAAAATTGATGACGCGTCGTAAGCATTCAGTCACTTTGTCGGTGCTTTTACAATCGGATTAAAGTTGAGTGTTTTAGGTTTGACATCTCTGGGACCATTTTTTCGTGTTTTGCCACAAGCATGACGTGTGGCTAATGCAGACTTGATGCATTGCAATAGGTGCGTATATTTGTTCTTTTAACATCTTAACACAATACTCCTGTATTATGGCAAGAAAGGTTAAAGCCTATTTTTATATATATATTTGTGATTATGTAGGCAGGCAGGTGATCATGGGTGCTTGTAATTTGTTTTCAGCCATTTGTCCATCCACTGCCGGATGAAGGCCTGCCCGCAACATATTACATGGATCACCTGGGCCTTGTTTAACCAGACTAACAAGTATAACCCGTAAAAACAAAGTTTTTCACTATAAATCCTTCATATGCGTGGCGGCTAGAGTCCTCTCGTCCTCTGGTTTGAGATGGGTCAGATGATTGCATTGCACCATTAAGCAATTGGTAATTAAATATAATATTTTTGTCCTTAAAAGTGTAAAATTTTGGAAAAAAAATTTCACGAACATTAATTGTCACGCACAACGAGTCTGTGTGGAAAATGTCAGCTCGATTGGATCACGGGAAGTGGGTTAAAAAACGACCGAAAGATTTGCACGGTCGTAAGCAAGCAAGAGAACTTAATATAAAGGATTTTAAAAAACGACGCATCGTGAGGGCCAGCAGCTTCGTCTGCCCTCCCAGTATGGAGGGAATTCTACGAACTTTATGTTCGTAGGTGTTGTGTGTATGTTTTGTTTTCAATTTGTTAACTATATGAAATTTTCATAATTAAACATGCAAATAGCCAAATCCTGTAAAAAGTGACTGTATTTATTGCACTGTACTTACCACTCCGGATAATCACCAATGATCATCATTTAAAACAGCAAATGTTTGCACATTATTGAATGAAGTTATGTTTTCAGGTGTTGCCTGCATGTTTGTTTAGTGTTTTAAATTGGTGTGGTTTCAAAGACAATGCATATATTATCAGAGTATGTTTTTTGTTTGCATTGTGGTTAATGCAGACATGATTCCTTATAAAAGGTTTCAGTTTGGTGTTTTAACATCTCAACACCTGTTTTGTTGCCAGAAAAAAGGGGAAAACCGATTCTCATGTTTAAAATTACTTTTACGATTTGAAATTTGCACAATAGTCAAAAATAAGTGTTATTGTAAAAAGTTACTGTATTTACTGTATCATCCTCACCACTCCAATCTCGAAACATCTGTATCATGGGGTGATGTACGTAGCACTACTACGATGCTCTTGTTTCAGCAGTATGATTGTGTCTGTTTGATGATTGCTACACTGATACGAATTTCTAATTACACACACTTCTTGTCGGATCACAATATGTATATTTTCAGTTTTTATTACCAAAGTTATTAGTCGTGAAAATGTATAAATACGTGCAGTATTTCCTTGTTTAAGTTGTATGTAGTGTATAATGCACCGTATATAATATTTGATATCGAAATCAAGCGTAACTACAATTTTTGTCATGCAAACGATGCCGATCGCCAGACTGGTAAACAGCCTTTGGAGCGGTTTTGCTGTATTGGCCTGGGAGCCACCCGATAATGTTGCAATCCGGATAATCGACGATCAACTGTAGTTTAAAAACAACAGTTTAGTTTAAATATTACAATTGATATATAAAACGGCAGATACACTTACCTGGCAACGTCGTAAAGAGTGCAGAGCACTTTGAGAATGGGAAAGAGATTGCACGCACATCCGATAATCACATCCACTGTGTCTTCAACTGTGATTGTGTCCTTCCGCGCTAGTGATACTACGTCGATCAGACATCCCCAGCCTGGCACTATTATGCTCAACAGTGACCTCTTTGCAACTGAGGAAGGAGGGATGGAGGAAAGGAAAAGAAGATTTTTAAAACTCCATTGGCAATACAGAAAAAAATGCAGTTAAAAACGTGAAGGAACCACCACTTACAAATATACCGCGGGTTCTACTGACCTGAGGACCTTTCCCTTAAACTGCCAGGTAAACAAAAGGCGCGAGGTAAACAAAAGGGGTCAGGTAAACAAAAGGCGTCAGGTAAAGACGCAGGGCTGCATTTGTCTCAGGGTCCTCCGCTTTTTCCTCTCCACGTTGGTTGAGCTGCTATCATTTGTGATAGTCAGGTCGCTTCTGAGAAAGAGCTGTATAGTAACTCAGCAGTGGGCCTTACCTGGGTACAATAAACAATTGTTTTACTTCGAAGAATTTTGCTTTCTTCACACCAACTGCTGGCAGAAGAGGGAGAGCTCCTAGCCCAGTGGTTATTCTCAATACAGTCATACCTCGGTATACGACCGCTTTGGAATGTCGAATTTGGTATACGTCGTGTTTTGACGAGAAAAAAAGTCTTGGGAATACGACATCTTGCTTGGGATACGAGGCGTTTGCTAGAACTTGTATGGGTCGGAATGAGTCACCGTGTCCCCGCGTATACCCCGTTCACGACTTCTCCCCTTCCTCACCACCATCCTCGTAGGCTATCAACTCCTCTCAGCAAGGTAAAGTGATGTTAAATTGTATTTTTATTTCAATTTACTTTTAATTTATGCATTTATTTTAATTTATTTATGCATTTTAGTAATAAGTCATTTTCAACATTATTCGGCAGTCCCAGTCCGATCCGACGAAACTGGCAAAACCGCTCCAAAGGCTGGAACTCGTTTGGCGATCGGCACCGTGTGCGTGACAAAAACAGAGTACCTGTGCTTAATTTCACTGTTAAATATTACATGCAGTACGTTATGCACTACATACAACTTGAACAATGAAAATACTGCACGTGCATTCATCACTCCATGACGCAGAGTCTTTTAGATTGGCGTAGTAAGTACCGTAGAGTAAATAGTCACGTTTTTAAGTAGCGTTTATTTTGATCTGTCCATTTCTATGTTCATGAATGTGCAAAAATAAGCAATTTTAAATGATGACGATGATTAGCGACTATCCGCCGTTCTTTTTTTTTATCCGGCACCCCCTCCCCTCCCGAAGCCACTGGATAATTGATGATCGACTGCAGTCCTGACTTTACGGTTGCCAAGGGCATGTGAAGGTAACCGATGGTGGATTCCCTGTTTCTCCCATTACCCAACCGCCCGTCAATCTCCAGGTGCATCGACTAAGTGTGGCGGTGGCCACCGCAAAGGAATAACAATTGCACTTAAGGCGTCGCTGAAAACCCCATCAGTTTACCCGGGTAATGTTGGGTGGAGTTCTGAGGAAGTTGCCGTTTGTTCCTGTTTTGATTGTCCGTTTTCAACTCTTTTGATGCACCGACCAGTTTCTTTGCGCACTGGTACAGGGCTTTCCCACAATTCCAGATGAATTCTAAGCATGGTATTTGGGTCGACACGTAGGCGTTCATTGACACGCTCGTGGAGCCTCCGACCGGGGGCCCTACAGTGGAAAAACGCAAACGCGCAGGTTTTAAGAGCACGCATATTTTTCGATTTAAAGCTTTCGTGACTGCAGGGATTCATCTTGTTAGTTCTTTCGGTAATGTCACGTAGAAAGGAAGTAATAAAATAATAAAACATTATACAATAATTCTATCGACGTTTCGGCCACAATGCAAGCAGCCGTCCTCAGGTGAAAACCAGGTCTGTCGAGGCGACGCTGTCACGACGCTGTCGCCTCGACAGACCTGGTTTTCACCTGAGGACGGCTGCTTGCGTTGTGGCCGAAACGTCGTGAGAATTATTTTAGTATGTTTTATTTTTATTATTTTATTATGTTTTATTTTTATTATTTTATTACTTCCCTTCTACGCGACTTTACCGAAAGAACCAAGAAGATGAGCACGCATATTTTTTAGTTGTCTCAAACCATTCGCGAAGAAAATCCAAAGATTAAACGTGCACATTAAACTCACGTCACTGACTGACAGAAGTGTCTCCAATTGCAGGGGGCACTAGGGAGCCCTTTTTTTTTGCTTTCGCAAAGCAAATATTATCCGTAATGAAGTCTTTGTTGTTGGGTTACATCGCGTTAAACGTAACTGTGTCATTAAACCAACCACCACTCCGATGCAGCCAATCAGTAATGTTGTGTCACGTGAACAGAACGTTCTAATTGGTTCCCACTTCAGCACTAACCGGACGTGTGTTGGAGAGCAAACCCGCGACAAACATTTACAATTTTGGTTCATGAAGTTTCGCCGGGGATTAAAACAACAGCACCTCCGATTAGTACAGTTGGCTATGCATATATTGTCCAATGGGTTTCTCCCGCTTGACAAATACATCTTAAATCCTGACAGTTAAAACTGTTACACATTCCGAATGATGATCTGTCTGTAATAACTGACCCAAAAAAATGTGCATATGTGTAGCGTTTGATCTGTTTTCCTGACTTTGAACACGCAAAAAAGCGTACAAAAAGCACTCGGCATTTGTGTGTGATGCAAAAAAATCATCGGTAGCTTCTGAAGAACTGTACTGTGCAGTTGTTTTTGCGGTTCTTCAGTGTAGGTCTTGTAAAAAAGCATTGGTTTTTGCGAGTGCCATTGTTTTTCAGGGCTTTACCGATTCGATTACGGGTGTGAAAGCGTTCAGTTATCATTCACCTTGCCCGCGTGATGACCTAAGCCCCGCGGAACTCTGAGAGACTTGTAAAAAGTGCACATTACCACAATTCACTCAATACGTCAATACTTCCAGGGACAAACGAAAGTTGAACGGCCGTTATCATGATCCCACGCTGAGGCATGTTTTTGTTCTTCTTTCCAACTTGTTTTATCCATTAGAATTGTAAAAAAAGAATAAACAAGCCATACGTAAATTTCGATTTAAAGCTGTCGTGACTGCAGGGATTCATCTTCTTGGTTCTTTCGGTAAAGTCACGTAGAAAGGGAAGTAATAAAATAATAAAAATAAAACATAATAAAATAATTCTCACGACGTTTCGGCCACAACGCAAGCAGCCGTCGAGGTGACAGACCTGGTTTCACCTGAGGACGGCTGCTTGCCTTGTGGCCGAAACGTCGTGAGAATTATTTTATTATGTTTTATTTTTATTATTTTATTACTTCCCTTTCTACGTGACTTTACCGAAAGAACCAAGAAGATGAAGCCATACGTACCTCCAAGACCATAAAAAACACCATAAGCCCCTCCTGAGACGCCTCCTGAGACACCTCCAGTCTCACTCGTCAGAGTGCATGTTGAGGCTTCTGCTATGAAGGCAACAAAAGCACTGCGCTCGCTGTGAACACGCAGAGACAGAGAGAGACAGAACACCGGTCAGATAAACCAGAGGTTATCAAACTCGTGGGTCGTGACCCCAATTCATACCTGTCAACCCCTTATCAGTGCATACATGTGGAATATTAGGAATCGACCACTCTTTTAATGATTTTCTTGTGCAGCAAGGGAGTAAAGTGTGGTTTTTTGAAAGTCCTTATGAACTGTGCAGTACATCGATGAACGTGTGTACACCAGCATGCGATAACGGAGTTTGGCCTCTAGGGGGCTGGCAGGGTTATTGATTAACCGCACTTGTACACCAGTCACATGGTTAATGGCGACTCGGTTGAAGAATTCTGTGTGTGACACACGTGCTGTTGCATCTTACAGATTAACCACAATACATCCGTTTGCCCTCGATTTGGAGAACCTGACCACGTCCTTAATTTCGAGTGTGCAACATACATCATCACAGACCAATTCAGACCTTATTGGTCACCACGTGCCCCTTATAAATCTCAACGTTTATTAACCTTAAAAATATATTTCCCTGCACAAAAATACTGAGTAAACCGTATGGGTTGACAGGTATTCCACTGGGTTGGCTTGCGAGAGGTACTGGATGTTGGGGTGGGGGGGGGTTACAACTAGAACACATCACGGCGAAACGTTAACGATGTTGTTATATTCCCATTTCACCGGAAAATAATGACCCGACGTTTCTTTGATCTGAAAGAACATAAACAAAGAAGAGATGAGACCTGCTACTATACTTACCATTCATTAGAAATACATCACAATGCCCGTGTTTAAAATGCTCTGGTGCCAGACAGCTGCCATGGGCTTCAACTGACTGTCACCTCACCCGTGTAGTAGTAGTTCTACTGGTGGTGGTGGTGTGTGTACACTGTAGTGCATCTCAACCCGTTTCACTCCATGGCTCGCCCCACACGCTCAATCTTTGCAGCTCACTGAACCAAAAAGCTCACTGTGGGCCCGTGTGGGTTGGTGTGTTGGGTGGGTGAGTGGCTATGCATTGTAGCTGGGAGGTAATTCACAATCCCCACGCTTATTACTTGTTTTAAAAATCGGGAACACGGAAATCAAAAGGTGTTGCCGAAATCCGCAACACTAATTTGTCCAAATGTGCGAGTATACATGCAGTCCAACTTACAAATATCCGCACTTACGAATGAGCTTCCATGAGATATTTTTGTTACTTTTTAACCATCCGACTTGCGAACTGCGGAACTATTTAGTTCGGCAAATGTACAATATGTATTCTTATTCGTGAGTTTAACAACGCCTTCCGTTTGATGAGCCATAAACACATTTTATAACACACACTGTATGTGCATTTAAATGCAGTTCATTATTGTGTTCCGACTTACGAGCATTTCAACGATTGAACGGGTTCGAGGAATGGAAACATGTTCGTAAGTTGGGGGACTGCCCAAATTCATGTCGACGTGTGTCTACGTGTGTGTGTGTCTATGTGTGTATGTCTACGTGTGAGGTATTGGGGGAGAGGAAATCCCTCAGCCTGGAAAACATCATGGGGCAAAGTGGGGATGACCCTGCTGAGGCTGCGGTGCCTAAAATAGTGATAAGTAGACACCCCCTGGGAGTGGTTGGCTGAGTGCCATCTGTTGAGGAAGTATAGAAGGTGATCCAGAGTCTGAGACCAGGAAAAGCAATGGGCAGAGATGATCTCCCGAGCGAAAGTCTGAGGGAGGGTGGCGTTTGTGCAGAGACTGCCCTACATGGCATCATAATAACAGTCTGGACCACTGGACGGGTTCTGCAGGATTGCAAAGATGCCCTGGTGGTCCGCCTCTATAAGAAAGGAGACCACACAGACTGTAACAACTACAGGGACATCTCCCTCCTAAGTGTGCCAGGAAAGGTCCTGGCAAGGATTATTCAACATCGCTTTGCCAGGAATGCTGAGAAGAGGCTTGCGGAGCCCGAATGTGGTTTCAGGAAAGGGTGGTCCTGCAGAGATGCCATATTTTCTGTCCGTCTGCTATAGCAGAGGTTTAGGAAATTGCAACATGACCTACATCTCTACTTTATTGACCTGGTCAAGGCTGATGACACCATCAATAGGCCTGGGCTCTGGGTTGTTTTTCACACTATCGGAGTCCCGGGGCTCTGGGAGGCACTGCTGCTGAACCTGGAGCGTGCCACGAAGGGGTTGGTCCTTACCATCAGCCCACCAAAACTAAGCACCTGCCTGGGTATTTTGTGCCGTCAAACACTGCACCCTCACAACTCCCAATTGATGATGTGGTAGTTGTGGAGGGAGTGGAAAGTTTTCAATACATGGGCAGTGTGGTCATGGCCAGTTTGACAGCAGAGGTCTCACTCCGAATCAGTCGAGCAGAATATTTTTTTCGTCAGCTGCGTAACGCTGCATGGAGGCTACCTGGTCTGTCCCTTCACACGAAGCTTCGGGTCTTCTCGGCCACGGCCATGCCCTCCCTTCTCTATGCTTACGAAACGTCGACCCACCTAATGAAACATCTTTGCTTGTTAAAACATTTGGGCTGGCCTGCGTACAATCATGCCTGGGGTTAACTAGGCTGGATTGTGTGAGGAGCTCACACATCCTTGAAAGATCTGGACAAAGTCCCATTGAGGAGCTCTTCCAGCAGGCAAGGCTGCGTTGGCTGGATTTTGTAGCCTGCATGCCCAGCCACCACATGCCTAAACAGCTTTTGTTCTGTCGGATAGAGGGGGCTGAATAGGCGCGGCAAGGGCTAGAGAAGGGATGGAGTGATGTGGTACAAGAGGATGTGGAGCTGAGTGGACTTGCCAATGACTGGTACCAGTGGTGTCAAGATCGGCCTCTGTGGAGGAGGCTCATGAAGGATGCTACTGGGCAGTTTGAGGCAGACACCCTCCAACAACAAGAGGGCAGAGGAGCGACGCTGACAACGACGAGCAGAGTGTCAGGTGGCTAAAACACAGAAAGTTGGCACAGTAGGGGGCACAGGTGGTGTATCAGCCAGTCATCTCAGTCAGTCGATCCGTGGCACCTGGGTCTGTCCCCTGACCTGCCAGCGGGCGTTCGACACTTCACGTGGCCTTAACGTGCACATAGCCTGGCACAAGCACCGTTGTGATGTCACCGTCATTTAGTGGCAAATGGCGGTTGTTGTTCTCGGGTCTACATGTTGACTACTTGTGCTTGTGTGCTCATCTGCGTGTATGTGTGTATACGTGTGCGTAGGTCGACGCAGCCTTAAATTAGTACCGGGTGTGGTGTGTAAACATCGCCAATGGGTAGATAAAGGCGGCCGGGCGTGGTATTGGCCACCCACCCCCTCGTGTGCCACAGTGCCGGCCTCCATAGGTGCTACTCGCTAACAACACTTGCCCAAACAGTCTGTTAAGGCTATACGGGGGATATTTTTCTTTGTGTGAGGGGGGGGGGGTCTCCGTGTATTGGCATACATTACCGAAGTTCACCACATTCGTAGTAGTAGATCATTTGAGCAGAGTAACACGTGATCATCGTTGCCCTTTTACTTCTGGTTGTGGTTGAAACGTTCACTGGAATGAGCACCGACGTCATGGCTTCTACATTCCCAATAGTGTCTATGATCTGCAACATAAAAATGTAACATGCATATAACGTGGTATGTCACATAAATGGAAAATGTATTAACCCTTTCATTCCACAACAGCCTCTTACTAAATCACCATGTATGTACTTGATCAGTAGTTATTCTCAACATTTGCGAGCTACTGCTGTACTCACCTTGTTGAATTTAGATACAATCCTTGCCAGGTGGGTAGGCAGCAAAGCCCAGACGGCTCGCGGTCAGAAAGTTCTAAGTAAATTTTATGATTGGGGTAGGGTGGGGGGTTTGACTCAGCCCCATCATGCATTGCGGGGTTGATAAAAAAGGTACAATTTTTGGGGAAATCATCAGGTGGTTGTGCTATAGATATAATTTAACCAGGGGCTTGTCAAGATTTACACAATCTTACAGTAACATGCACATTTAATCTCTAGCCCCTCCCACTGACCCTTGTTATTCACCAGTGACTATCACATACGATATAATTTCACGCATTTGTAGGGGACTGTATAGGGAAATTATAAAATGTACACGTTGAAATAATCAATAACCGGTGGCCGTAGGGTACTGCATTGGGAATTCATTAAATACACACGTTGAGTTGATTGGGAACAGGTGGCCATAACGGACTGTACATGTTGAGATAATTAAAGATACACGTGGCAAGTCAGGGTGCAGGACACTACCCAATTAAGGGTGGGGCCAAGAGGGTATATACACCGGAGCGAGGCCCCCAGTCGGGGCACTTGCCTGGGACAATAAACTACAAGGTGGAAGACATTTGGGGCTGACTGTTCGCGGAGCTGTATCAACATAGTTATTACGAAAATAAAGACTTCACCTTTCTATAATAGACGTCTCCAAGGAGCTTCTTTACACATTTGTAGAGGAGTATTGTGAGTAACCAATCAGGGGGTGAACAGAAGGAGGTGCGACCGGGTTGACAGTCAAGGATGACGTAACTTTATGGGTTGCGTAACGAGCACTTTCGGGAACAAAGGTGGGGCCGAGCTGAGGGGAGGAGCCACCCAAGGGGTTCTTAAGGGGGACCTGTGACGAAGGCGTGGTCGTCGTGGGGAGCCAGGGTAAGGATCTGCTGAAGAGGGTCTCTCTCTTTGTCACGGAGCGGTGTTGGCTGAACCTTTGCTCCGGGCAGACGAGTGGAAGAGTCAAGGGGATAGTCTAGGGTAGGGTCCCATAATATTCAGTAAAGGGTCGGCTGGAAGAGGGTCTCTCTCTCCTCGTCACAGAGCGGTGTTGACTGATCCTCCGCTCTTGGCAGACGAGGGAGAGAGCCCAAGGGGTAGCCGAGGGTAGGACCCAAATAATATTCAGTGTCCGGGGTAAAGGACCGAGATAGAGTGCACCTACACTGGTGTGAGTGTGACAGTGGTTTAATAAACGGCAACAGCCCCTATAGTATTCCTCGTCTCTGCGTGAGTCTATTGCACTAGACATTTATAAAACACCTCAACGTTATCCCCTGGGAAATTGCCACGTTACCCCTCCCAGGGGTCCGCCAAGTACCCCCGGTTAATAATTGCTGCTCTAGATGGTTGAGAGTTATCTAGCCCCATTCTACACACTGGCAGAGCTGATGGTGTGAATGCACTAAGCATCCACGGTTGGAAAGCGTTCATAAACATAGCTGATGTGATGCAGGGGGCGACTCATGCCCCTTCTGCGTCTTTGATCGTCGTGCGCAGAAGGGAGTGTGCGCTGTGGTGTGCATCAGAATCGATCAGAAGCTGACCCTGACCAGAGAGGCCGTGAAGGCGATGCTGGAATTCACCAACCAGGAGGTTTCTCGAGCGCATCGCCGTGAAGATCACCCTCAAGCGGCAAGACAATTCCAACCGCCCGTGTTGAGATTCACTAATGTAGTGTGTTGTGTATATTGACTTGTGTATGATATAATTTCACACATTCATAAAATCACCCCATCATGTACCCCCTGAGACATTGCCATGTTACCCCAAGGGGTCCGTGTACCCCCCAGTTGAGAACCACTGCTCTAGATCTTGTAAGGTCTCGAATGCTCACCAGGCATGAGCCTGGATAGGGATTGGATGAGTGACCACTCAGGCATAACAGGTGTTATAGGCTGAGGGGCTACAAGGTGGGCTACAGATTGCAGTTCCAGGAAATGCGTTGTTGTGCAGTACAGCGATACCACCCCAGTTTACGTCGGGGAAGTCGTTCCTGAAAGGTGTGACGATGATGGATATCAAAATGACGTAAATCGAAGCGATTTTTCTAAATCACCAAAATGCCGTATGTAAATAACATATTGTACTCTACAGCACGGTACATGTCTTTATAAGTAACACAAAGTAGTTTGTATGCCAGGGTAGTAGTAGTAGGTGGTGGTGTAGACGAATGCTGAGAGTAGGTAATGGATAACGAGAGAGGATGAAAGGATAAAGCTGTCGGCTACGTTAGTGTGGGGTTAAGGCGACGCTAATCAGGTAGCGGTGTTAATAATAATGTGATGACGGATATTGAAACAATGCAAATCGAAGCGACGTACAGGGATAGAAGGTGGTGGTGGAGGCGAAGTCTGAGAGTAGGCAACGGATAACGAGAGAGGACGGGCGACCATGCTGTCGGCGGCATGAGTGTGGGGTTGAGGTGACCGCTAATTGGGTAGCTGTGTCAATCCGTTCCCGTTTCTCTTTCGATTCCGTTCCGATCAAACGGAACCAAAAATAAAAAATAAAATAACTTTGTCGGTATCAAGGCTCCCACCTACAAGACCATGTGGCACATTTTGACACTGGCTATCGGTGAGTACAGTACAACATCTTGGGGTCATGTTAATCTGACAATATGCAGTACCTATTACCAGTTGGGTTAGTCACAGTTAATCAACATACAATAGAACCCCTCTTAACAACCACCCCTGTTAACGACTAATCACTTAACGATGGGCCTATGTAGAGCCCAATGCGTTCGCTTATTTACCATTCCCCTGTTAACGATGGGCTGTTGAAGGTACAATAAATATTATTTAATGCATTCATTATCCATGTTTCTTTTAATATTATGTGCTTATAATATTGTTAGTGTCTTTATGTATTAATACTTTTTTAACATGATAAAGTTTTTTTTAGGTGAAAAAATTGTAACTTTCGATGCTATCAGATCGAATTAAGCCTTTAACATGTATTACCTATACAGGTAGTGCCCAGGTTACGAAAGGGTTAGGTTCTCGAGAAATATCCGTAACACAAATTTTCCCTGTGTCTGAAACTGAACAATTTTCCCCCAAAATCAAGATGAAATCCCATAGCGAGAAATAGTTGTGCCTCCCCTACCGTTTTATCTCAGTACTGTATCGCGCTGTCGTCCATCGCTCCCTGCATTGTATTGCTGTACATACGCTCTGTACTTCCTATGATTCTTTCATTTCATCGAATATCTACCTTAACACTACCTGTATTAAAAAAATGGAACATATACTGTACTGTGTTTATGAATACCACGAAGCATAGAAAACAAACAATTACGGAATGCTACAAAGGGAAAATAATAATGCAACGATACAAACAATTCCATTAACTTTAAATCCTAGTGAACCTCGGGCTCGGTGAAAGAGGCGTTTTGGTGGTGAAGGCGGCGTTTATGCTCTAAATCAATCACTTTACGCTTGCACTCTTGCAAGCACTTGGTCACTTTACAGTCATTATTGCAATGCAATTAAGGGTAATTTTACACTGAAAGTTATAAAACAATGTGGTGGGTACAGTATATTTATGGTAACAATGCAACAGCGTGACTCAGTGCTATACAGGACACCATCGCCTTGGGGAATATGTGTCCCCACCTTATGCCTCGCTCCGCTGTATTCATCAGCAACCTCACCGCGTTGCCCTATTTGCGCTTATGTAACTAATGCAAAGATTTACGCGTACAGTATTGATTTTTTTTTACATTATTTATTTGGAGCATTTGCGTAAATTCGGATTTCCGTAAGTTGGGTATTCCGTAACCGAGGGATTACCTATACTCGCTTAACGACTAAATCACTTAATGGCCAGTTTCCTGGAACTAATTACTGTCATTAAGAGGGCTTCTACTGTACAATGAACAACGTTCATCTGAGAATAAGCAGTAATAAGCAGTAGTAGTCATCAACTTATGATAGATTATGTGAATATGACAATACACGGTAACCTATCGCCGGGTTGAGTTAGTCGTAAAAACTCTGCTGACCTTGGTAAAGACAAGGCTGGGGTGGTTGGGCAACATCAGCTGCACATTGTCCGCCCTGATGAGACCGTGGTTGGTGATGTTGAACACAATCTGTTCGATCACGCCCAGTAGCAGGTCGTCCAGCTTCACCTCGCGGGGTTCTATCGTCACGACGGGCTCCGGGACCTGTTGAAAGGTGGCAGCAGCAGCAACGGCGGCAGCGAACGAAACACAAATGGGGAGGGAAAAAATCACGTCAATGCAAAAATTCTGTTCATCCGTAATTCATTGTAATAAAGTGCAGTAGACTCTCGATTATCCGAGTGCGGTTTATCCTATTTACGGATTAACCGCGTGCACACTGAGATTTTGACATGAATTAATAACTCATTAATTTTCCCTTGAGCCCAAATTAATTATTCTAAAAAGTTACACATTATTCTTGGAAATGCTTATTCCAAGTCACGTGGTGCTTAAACTGAACAAACATATTGCTCCGGTTAATCCGAAATCCACGTGATCGCCTCTACAGGACAGGAGATATTGATTGGCGTGGCTTTGCTGCTGTCCACTTAGTGGGCTGAATCTTCTGCTGGGCGGGAGCAGGAAAGTGTTATGATCACGGAGCACGCGCATCGATGGGTCGATTGTTAGTAGTTGTTATAAATCTAAAGAGTAACCATCAAAATATTTTCCGAACTTAAACATTCGTGGCTTTTGGTAGAGATCAGCGGAAATTTCTTTATTTTTTGATTACCTGCGATTTTGAATTATCCACAGCTGCCCTCCCTACTGTTGTCCTATGAAGAAACACCTTATTTGAACAAAACACGGTTTAACATTTGGTTGAACCCAGCATCTAAAGCTACTTAACTATATTTGTAACCAGGTATGGCCCACTGAGTTGATATAGTACAGTCTGTTGTCAGGGAGGGACAACAAACAGAACGAATTTACACCCCAGATTGATCACGTTAAATTGTGGGCAGCCGAATTAGTATAATAGCATTATTGCACTATGTTCATATGCCTCCAACATCTATGCTGCCCACCTTCACGAATGTGCACCATGACCAACTCAATCAATGCTCGGGACTCGCGGTGACTAGGAGATGTTAACTCCCTTGCCTAGTATGGAGGAGGTTGTGGGTTCGATCCCGACCCTGATATCTGCTGTATATTTAGAGTTTGCGTGCCTCTCTCCCCGTGGTCACATGGGTTTTTCTGTGGATCCTACAGGTTTTTCCCTCCACATTTAGAATACACATACATTTAGATTATCTGGAAGCTGCTATACATTTCCACACGATGATAAGCCACTTTTTTGAGCTACTATCATTTGTGATAGCCAGGTTGCTTCTGAAAAAGAGCCACGTAGCAACTCAGTGGCGGGGTTTTGCACCTGGCGAAATAAAAGTTGAGTTTTACTTTGATTAGTGGACGCTTATGAAGCTGTGGACTGACATAAAGACCTGTAAGTATGCATGCGCACTGCATATACGAATGTGTGGCGAACATTCAGTAAGACAGATGCTACACTACCACTCCCCACGCACACCAAAAAAAAGCCACATACAATACAAAGACATACTGCCATTGTGTAAAATGGCAAGCGAAAATGAACTTATGATCCGGCGGTCAATCTCCGGCAATCTTCGCTCACGTGTGTTTCGAAATCTGCTTCCAGCGTGATGATGTACTCGTCTTTGAACGTCGTCATTTGCACACTCCACGTGTACACGACCGCTATCCGCTGAAGGAAAATGATGAGCTGAAATGAAAGCAAACCGAACACAACAAACATTGGAGTAGAACATTAACGGCAGCATATCTGGCGACGTTGATAATAATAACACTATGTAACACAATTTTTATTCCTGGGTATTAAGTGTTATTTCGTAATTGCTTATGCCTCAAAAGTATATAAAATAGCTATTATTCCCCACAAACTTTGCTTTTGTGACCAGGAGAGTGATATTTTGAAATGTACCTATTTTCAATGAGAAAACGGGCAAATGTGTCTTTTATGAATCAAAATTAACATATATTGATACTAAAGTAAGACAAATTACTAGAACAGATTTAGAAGCGAGTAGTTTTTTTGAGATTTACGATTATATTGCAAATCACTTTCACGAATCAGCCCCCTAATGTAGTCTCCCATTATGTTATCTTATACTGTGCTTGGTAGTGGCGTTCAAAGTCGAGTATATTCTGGTGGAAGCGCTCGTCTTGCTCCTCCGAGTACGCTCCCATGTTCTCCTTGAATTTATCAAGATGAGCATCAAGGATATGGAGTTTGAGGGACATCCTACAGCCCATTGTGCTGTAGTTCTTCATCAGAGTCTCAACCAGCTCCACATAGCGACAAAGCTATCCCAAGCCACTTTCTCCTTATTAGTGAGCTTCTTGGGGAATTCATTGCACTCCAGGATCTTCTTTGTCTGTGGTCCGATGAAGACACTGGCTTGACTTTTTCCTCAGACAACGTAGCGAAGAAGTCTTGAAGGTACTTTAAGGCTGCCGAATCCTTATCTACAGCTCTGACAAATTGTTTCATAAAGCTCAATTTGACGTGCAGTCATGATGAAAGTACCTTCCGGGGGTCCACCAGTGGCTCCCATTTGACGTTGTTCCTCCCACAGAGAACTCCGTTCGCCGAGGCTAGTCCCACCTGTGGTATTGCGCCTTGGTGTCCCTGCTGTCCCAATCAGGAATGCCACCATTTTGAAGTGTCCGATGACCTCCCAGCCGTACTCATCATACTTCAAGGCATCCAGCAAGGTCTTGATGCTGTCGTAATCCTCTTTGAGGTGCATTGAGTGAGCCAAGGGAAGAGACGGGTACTTGTGTAGTGACATCGCGAATGTCAATGTGTGGTGCCGGCCCCAGAGTGGCACGACGTGCAATGTACTCACATCGCGGACATCACATATGTAGCGACATCGTGAATGTCGCTGTGTAATGTTGACTCTAGCGAGGCACGGCATGCGATGCATTGTCATCGCAGACACCCCATAGGTGGGTGTACTACCAGCCCTAGAGGGGGCTCGGTGAGCGCTGGGATAGCGCAGTGGCACCACGCGTGGCGTGCAGTGCTGACTCCTACAGGAGGGAGTGTGAGAGTGTCAGCCATGGGATGAGGCTATCCGAGGCCATGGCACTCTGGTTGACACTGGAAGGCACGTGACCAGTAAGATCTAAACAAGAGCCTCAGGTAGGGGCTTGGGGTGGTCACGTGTCAGTGTGAGATCCTACGGGAAGGGTCGAGAAACGACAAGAGGTTTCTCGAAGGTGGTCGTGGCCAAGGGCGGGGCCAGCCACGACCAAGCAGGATATAAGCCGGGTCCGCACAGGGACTGGATTTCAGCGTTGCTGTCGTCATGTGAAGATCTACGATCTACGTTCTATGTCTGAGAAGAAGTTACCAACACGTGGATGAGGACCCAAGCTAGGGTCCTGTCCATTGTAGCTCCTCCCAGTAATTAGCGTAGTTAGCCTGGTGGTCCAGCACCATAGGTTATCTAGTAAAGGGGCAGTAACCCCTTTGTGTTTTATGTTGGTGTTAATAAATGTGTTGCCTCCAAGAAGTATGTCTGCGACTGAGGTAAATCCACTACACTTGTTACCATTATGGAGAAGCATGGCTTTGAGTTTCCTGGATGAGCTGTCAATGAAGAAGCGCCACTCATTCTGGTTACAGGTGATTCCGATTGCCTCGAACAGGCTGGTAACATTGTGACAGAAGCAGAGCCCATCTTGACTGGTGAAGAAGCTGCAACAAGGTTGGTGGCGCTTCCTCTGATCTGCGACTTGCACACTTTCATCCAACAAGTTCCACTGCTTGAGCCTATACGTCAAAAGCTCGGCATTGGACTTGGTGAGACCAAGATCTCTGATGAAGTCGTTGAGGTATTTTTGGTTGGGGTAGTATGGGTTTCTCTCCTCAGCTCCACTTCTGAAATTGTCATCTGGATCAACAACATCTTCCTCGCTCTCTGACTTCCTGGTCTCTTCTAAAGATGACTGCGCTCTCTCCGGATGAGCAGGAACAGGAAGCTCATGGCAGTGTGGCACTGGGGCAATGGATGAAGGAAGATCCGGATACGTGATAGCAGGCGCATTCTTGCCAGTCCCACGTTTGGAAGGGTCCACCATGCAGAAGTAACAGTTGCTTGAGTGGTCAGTGGGTTCAAGCCAAATTCTTGGGATAGCGAACTTCATGGATCTCTTTTCCCCTCTATACTATCCTACAAAAATACATGTATTTCACCCATGACTGATGTGTAAGAGATTCTCGTAACATTTTTCATATTTTTCAATAACATTGAAAATTGTAAAACATTTTAAAATGAAAATCTTTTACAATTACATTTTTTTAAACAAATTTTATAACATTAAATTCCGAGCAACAATTGTCCATCTTACCTTCCAGAGTTTTTTAGCATTGCTCACAGGTGAGGTGCCCTGGGTTTGTCTTTATCCCCCGACAGGCATGCCAAAATATGCCTTGTCGGCCTCACACATCTTAGCAGATGTTTCCACAGAGTGCTTTTTCGCTCCTGTCTTGATAAATTGGCCGCAGACATAGCAAAATGAGTCTGCCGGATGCATGCAGACTTTTGATGCCATCTCAAAAAAATGCAGATATGTATCCACTTAGGCAGCTGGAACTAAACTGAACTAGTGGGCTTAAGGCCCCTGTATGTATTACTACTATTTATATTACTGGAACGTTCTAGAATGTTCTAGAAGTTCCTCCAAGTTTACTCAGCACTGAATATATCTGGAATGTTCTGGAAAATTAGGTAAATATCCTAAATATCACTGTCCTGGTCGCAAAAGCAAAGTTTGTTGGGAATAATAGCCATTTGTACTTTTGAGGCAAAAGCAATTCGGAAATTACTAACTACCCAGGAACAAAAAAAATTGGTACCCAATGTAATTTAAATGTATAATTGCACATTCCATCCTAGGATCCCAATGTGCAATGCATGAAAAGCAGGAAACAAAAACAGAACCAGGGGGCAACCGACTAAACTGAAGAGGCAAGGCCACTTTAAAGAGATGGGTTTTCAAAGCAGACTTAAATATATCTACTGACTCCGATTGCCTGATTTAAAGCGGCAAGGCATTCCATAGCTTGGGTGCCACACTAACACAAGCACCAATCGCAAAAAAAGCGCAACTTAGACCTGGGAGAGCTGAGCATTTGGAGATCAGAAGATCTTGATGGAATATATAAATGTGTAGAGGAAACGTGTGAGCAACCATGAGAGGGCGTACAGAGGGAGGTGCGAACGAGTTGACAGTGGAGGATGACGTCATGTCACGGGTGCTGTAAGGGGGTACCTTCTGGAACAAAGGTGGGTCCGAGCTATGGGGAGGAGCCGCCAAGGAGTACTTAAGGGGGACCCCATGACAAAGGTGGGGTCATTGTGGGGAGCCAGGGCAAGGATCGGCTGCAAGAGGTCTCTCCCGCTCGTCACCAGGCGGTGTTGGCGAAACCCCCGTCCAGGTCAGACGTGTGGGAAAGCCATAGGGATAGAAGAAAGTAGGGCTCCAAGTATTCAGTTAGGATTGGCAGAGAGAGAGAGAGCCACGAGGGATATACGAGGGTAGGACAACATAGTGTTTGGGGTCCAGGGTAAGGACCAAGAAGAGAGAGCACCTACCCCTGGTGTGAGCTTGAGCGTCAAATGTAAGTGTTAATAAACGGCAACAGCCCTTATAGTGCTTTCTGTCTCCAAGTGGTTCTACTGTATAACAAATGTATTAGTTTAACACGTAGGCTTTCGCAACCAATATTATTCATATTGGTTTTTGGGTTAGATCACGTAAGTATAAACGTGTCGTAAACCGGCACCACCTGACACAGCCAACCAGTAAGGTTTGTCACGTAAACAAACAACACGTGCAATTTATTTACTACTCCAGCCCATCAGGCGATTTGCCCGATGATGCTGGATGTAATTACTAGCGAAACGTCGTACTCAATTGTAAAAGTTGTGGATTTACTCTGCAACACACCAGTGGGCTGAAGTAGTAACTAACTCGCACGTTTTGTTTACGTGACAAACCTTACTGGTTGGCTGTGTTGAGGGGTGGCGGGTTATGACTCATTTATACTTACGCGATCTCACCCAAAAACCTTTATTATGAATATATTTATTAGTTCCTGCAGGTAATGTGGGGCGAGTACTTTTAAAAAGCATTACGATCATTCATTGTGGGACATCGGCTTCATCCTCCTTCTACTGCCCCCAATGTTTTGGAACTCCCTTCCTCCAGACTATCTGTGCTGCCAACTCCCTGCACCTGTCCAAGTCCAGGATTGAAAACCTTTTTTTCTTCTCCTGCACCTATAACCGAAAGCTCCCCCCCCCCCTCTCTATCATAGGATACCTTTTTGCCAGTATAAAATTATGAAAAATAAGAATACGTTTATACCCTTTCCGGCAATAAAAAAAGGTGTTAAGATGTTCAAACACTAAATAGATACCTTTTGCGAAGAATCAAGTCTTCATTAATCACATGTGTAGTGGAGGCAACACATTTATTCGATATCAACACATAACACAAAGGGGTTACTGCCCCTTTACTAGATAACAAATGGTGGTGGACCACCAGGCTATCTACGTGTGTTACTGAGAGTAGCTGCAACGGATGGGACCCTAGCTGGAGTCCTCATCCACGTGTTGGTGACTTCTTCTCGGATGTAGAACGTAGATCTTCATATGACGGGAGCGACGCTGAACTCCGGTCCCTGTGTGGACCTCGCTTATATGCTCCCGGGTCGTGGCCGTCCTTGGCCACGCCCACCTACGAGAGAGTTCGAGCTCTCTCTCTCGACCCTTCCCATCGGGTCTTTACCCCTGACACGTGACCACCCCCTGCCCCCCCACCTGGAGCCCTGTGTGGATCTTACTGCCACGTGACTTCCAGGGTCAACCAGAATGCCGTGGCCTAGGGTAACCTTTCTCCTGGCTGATACTTTCCCACTCCCTCTAGTAGGAGTCAGCGCAGCACGCCATGCATGGTGCCTCTTGCGCTATTCCAGCGCTCACTGAGCCGCCTCTAGGGCCGGTATGACACCGACCTATGGGGTGTCCACGATGCCAGTGCATCGCACGCTGTGCCTCGCTAGAGCCGGCATTACTCAGCGACATGCACGATGTTGCTACATATGTGATGTCCGCGATGTGAGTAGATCGCACACAGTGCCCCTCTTGGGCTGGCACCACAGTGACATCCGTGATGTCACTACACATAGTCTAATAATATATGCATTGTCTCTGAAACGGATTGACCTACAGCCTTCTTTATGGCCTAGTCTCACCAGCATCAGATCAGAGAATGCCAAAAGGTGAACATTACAATGCACCTATGAGGACATTTATATCTCGGGGTGAGCAGCTATATCATCATGGCACCTTGTTGCCAGTATCAAATTATGAAAAATAATATAATAGTTTTTTTCCCTTTCTTGCAATAAAACAGGAGGTGTTAAGATGTTAAAACACCAAATAAATACCTTTTGCATGTGTAGTGAAATATAATCGGTGACGTAGCAGCATAGCGCTGGCTGCTGGCAGGGAAGGGGATCTACAACTTACAGCAGCCCTGAATGACAATAGGTCACGTGATAGAACAGAGAGGGATGTAGGGGAAAGGTTACAGAATGGGCACATCGAGAACCTGCTAGTAGGTTCCAGAAGGGGGCGTTGCCGAGGGCGGAGCCAGACCACACTGACAGTATCAGAGGGGACCCGGGTGGGGACCTCGGGGCTGTCATGTAGAGTGGGATCCCGTTATGCTGCTGGAGTCTTCACCATCGTCTCCATCTTCACCATCTCATCATCGCCAGTCAGGCAGTCTACCAGCTGTCCTGACTGGGAACCGTAGTTTCCAAGTGTTAATGGTTAAGGCCTTGTTAATAAACAGAGTACCTCCTACTCTTAGTGTCTCTGAGTCAGTCACTCCATTTGGCGTCAGAAGTGTTAAAGAAATGTAGTCATCATATCCAAGTCGGTCAAGAAAAATATTCTGCCTATTGTGTCCTCGGGAGATGAGGACAACGGGACGTGATCCCTCCGGCAGTCCTGAAATTGAGGATTCTGGAGATGAGTCCTGAAGCGGTGATCCCTGAGGAGCAGTAAGGGAGTGATGTCGACTCCTCGCTGCCGCTGGCCTGAGAGGGGTGGCGCGAGCTTACCGCACGTCTCGCGGGCTTGCTCTTTGTTGCAGCGGCACTGGTTATCCAGCTTGGGTCTGCAGCACCTGCTGACAATGCTGCAGCATGGGGGCAACGGACGGGCAGCTCGACCATCTCCGCCACGCGGGCGGCCGCCATTTTGCCTGCCGTGAGCGGGGTGCCAAAATCGACCGCCATTTTGTCAACTGGGCAGGAAACGCTTCCCGACAGCTTTCTAGCACTGTTTCGCCGCTGCTTGCGCCCTTCGCGGGATGGTCTGACGAGGAGGCGCTGCAGGCTTTGCCCACCACTTTGGACGACGACTCCTTGGTGGCATTTGAGGCCATCCCCGCAGCAGACCGAGCGACGCTGCCTCAAGCTTGTGCCCAAGATGGCTGCTATTTTTGACCCGCCATCCAAAGCGCATCGAAAATTCCTGCTGCGAAGACGGGGGGAGACCGAGACGCCCCTTTGCCTTTCGCAGCACGTTGTTGTCACAGGGCCACGCCGCATATCCACGGTTGGAGCAGACCACACTAGACTCTCTGGCGCTGGAGAGGTTGCAGTCGCTGGCCCAGGAGATGGGCGTCTCTCTGCCCGCTGCATCCACGCCCATGTCAACTTACAGCGGTGGCCCGCAGTGGCTGCCTGCGCAGGGTTCTCGGAGGTCGAGTACGAGCCGGAGCATAAATAACAATATTTGCAACTTATCAGAGGCGTAGTGACTACATTATTAACTCAGTGGGTGTGGCCATCGGTCAGGTGAGAGCCACCCGATAGTGTATGTGTAGTGACACCGACACATACTTGCTTCACTAAGAGCCTTTATTTTGGACACGCTATTCCTAGGCCCGGACTTTAGTACTTGATGTTCGAACTTCGTCTTTTCTTCAACCTCCCCCTCCCCTAATGCCATCCCCTTTTATATCCTCTGAGCCCCCCTTTCTGGAAGCTTCGCTCACCCCATTTCCCTCAGCCAATCCCCCTTCCCCCTTCTCTGATGACTGTGAACCGTCTCTCCTACAATCAACCCTCGTTTCCCTGACTTTTACGATGGCATTTCTCCTCCAATCCCTTTGGTTCTAGTATCCTAACCCAATCGTCTTTGAGGTCTTCTTGCACCAATCAGAGGCCTTTATTGACTTCCTGACTGTCTGTTTGCACATACGCTATGTCAGGTAAGTGGTCTGTTGCCTCGGTCATTACATATGTATGTTGAACTACTTTCACGCCGTACATAGCCAACTGTGCTAATCAGAGGATGGGTGAGTGTGCGTGACTATCTGAACGGGTGAGCGACTATGCGAGCGGGCGAGTGACTATGCGAGTCTATGCACAGCCGTGTTCACACGCACCACCGTTCTGTAGTGACAGTACCTGCGAATTGTGGTCGGAGAACACTGCGACCCCAGAGTAGGGGACGTGACGTGGAGCCTCCACATACACCTCGTAACGGTCCTCCGTCACGTTGGAGAAGGTTGCCGTCCCTGGGGTCAAAAAAACGTCCGTCGCAATCCGCCGAACGTGCTTCATTAAATGGGGCACGCAACTTTCCAACGTGGACTACTTCGCCATGACAACCGTGTGTCACATGCCCCAACTAGCCAATCATGGGATCAGTATAAATTATAGGACACTTAAAAGCCTCAACATCTCAAGGCCCCTGCTGCGGCTAGGCCAAGGAGCTGTGCACTTTTAAATAATTAAGATTCAAAACGAATTTCTTTAGAACTGCGTTGTGTTCCGTTGTTGTTCTACCCCTGCACCTCCGATGAGTGTAGTTGGCTATGTATGGCATGAAATAAGTTCAACATACATACGTACTACACTACACACTACATGATACATTACTATACACGACATGATACACTACAAGTAAAAATTATCCAGGCCAGCCGCTGGACTTCCATTTTATCAGGCGGCAAATACACTACCTGCTTGGCCTCGTCTCTGCGGATAAAATTAAAGACAGTTATGCGATCTTTAGGTTATAGTACATTCTACGCACCATGACACATTTAAACGTTAAACTGTAAAAACCATATTCTTAGGTTTTTTTCAGTAAAGTCACGTAGGTAAAAAATTAAAATTAATAAAAGTAAAATAAAATAAAAAATAATAAAAATCACGACGTTTCGGAGGCAACACAAGCTTCCGTCTTCAGGTGGAACCGTCACAGCACGCTTGCTGTATCAAGTAAATGATAAATTCCAAGAGATACTACCCCCCGTATACATGCTGGTTGAGGGGAGGATGAGCCAGCACAGGCCCCCTTTTTATTATTATGGTAAGATGCAGCTTGAAACTGCGGCTAATCTACATAACAAAGGACTGAGCCTTTGTTATGTAGACTGCCTGAGAGGGGGGGGGGGTGCCAGAGTTGTTAAAGTGCAACTGCTGCTAACGGGACCGAGCCTCTGCCATGTAGATGGTAAAAGCAAAAAAGCAGGTCAGGAAGAAACAGCCTCCTGCTATGTTGCTTGGTGGGTAAAACTTATAGCAGGAAATCAGCATGTGAAAAAAGAAGCTAAACATGCTAAAACAAAACTGGCTGTCCATCAGTAAACAGACAGCCAGTTTTGATTATACAACTACTCCGCTCCTGACACGGTCATCTGTGGCTTGACTACCCGAATCTGAAATTGTAGTTGTTGCCTCTGAAATCTTCATGAGCACGTACGTAAGAAAATACCCCTACCCCAATCACTAACCCTATCACCACCCAAATCACCACCCCTATCACCAGCCTAGAACAGAGACCGTAGTACAACGTGTAATGATGCTACGCCCAAATCTACAAATATGAAGGAGACAAAGCAATCTTGATACACCACTCCGCTACTGCTCCTGGAGCCGTAATCTGCGGCTTGACCACACCGAACGTGATACCGTAGTCGTTGCTCTACATCTACTGCATCAGCCGTCGTACAACAAGAAGAACAAGAAGAGCATTAAACCTGCACCCACCGTTGCCTTCCGCCGTGCTCATTGCGAGGCGCACGCCACGTGAAGGGTTGTTGAGCAGCACTACGGCGTTGGGGACGAGGGGGTGGCCCGCGACAAAGTAGGTGTACTCGTCTTCCACCATCACCTCCACAGACAGTAGCTGGCTGAAAAACACCACCACCACCGAGTTAAAAAAGGGCATCAAGAGGGAGTCTCACGGTCATGCAGAAGCCAGCACAAACCTGAAAGGGGCCCACTGCGTGACGCACGTTGCCCGTCCTTGTTAGACGGCCGTCCAAAAGCCGCAGTTGCTGCTTGCTGCAAAGATCCCCCATTTAGGCTTAGCAGGCTGTTGGGGCAAGTGCTGTTAGTGAGTAGCACCCATGAAGGCCAGCACGGCACACGAGGGGGTGGGTGGCCAGCACCTCCCCCAGGTACCTTTGTCTCACCAGTGCCGATGATTTTACATACAGCACCAAGTAATCATTTGAGGCCGAGTCGACATAGGGGAGGCCCAGAACTGGTTCAGATAATCGTCACTGGTGGTGGTCGCTGTTAGCAGGAATCAAACTCGGGTCGCTGGGTTTGTAGCACAGCCCGTTAACCACTGCACTCCTGTTCCTGAATACAACAACAACCACTATTTGCCACTAGGTGGCAGTGACATCACCACGGCGCCTGTGCCAGGCTATGTGCACTTTAAAGCCACGTGAAATGTATAAAGCCCACTGGCAGGAGGTTATGGGGACAGATCGAGGTGCCACGGGTTGACTGAGATGACTGGGCCAATGCACCACCTGTGTCCCCTGATACATGCACACACTCGTGCGTATATGTATAGAGTAGAACCCCTCCGATTAACAATGGTAATTGGTTCAAGGATACCGGTCGTTAAGTGATTTGGTCGTTAAGCGAGAATAGGAAATACACGTTAAAATGCTTAATTCGTTCCGATAGCATCGAAAGCTAACTTTTTCACCCCAAAAAGTACCTTATATTTAGAAGATTGATATTAATATATAAATATACATTACAAAACACATGTTAAAATAATTATAGTTAATCAATGCATTAGTTCATATTTCCTGTCCCGACAACAGCCCATTGTTAACAGGGGAATGGTCGGTAAGCTAACAAATTGGGCTCTACGTAGGCCCATAGTTAAGCGATTAGTCGTTAACAGTGGTGGTCGTTAAGAGGGGTTCTACTGTATTCTACTATACATTACACTGCTATACACACTATAAACTACTATACACTACAGTAGAGACTACCCTATACATTACACTACGCACTGGGCTCTATGGAGGCCCATCGTTAAGCTATCAGTCGTTAACAGGGGTGCTTGTTAAGAGGGGTTCTACCGTATATAGATAACGTACTCGGAAGAGACGACGATGGTGAATGGCACAGTCGTTGAGGTCTCAGTCGAAGCGACGTAAAAACTCCCGGCGATCTCCCCCAGCGGCTGGCTCTCCGGCACGGCGATGGAGAGCATGAGGGTGGCCCGCTCGCCATGAGCCAGGCTGAGTGGCGGGGCGCCGTCGTTCTGACGGGAGCCATTCCTGGCAAAGCTCACCAGGTAGAGGAGGTCTCCGCCGGGCAAGGTGATGCTCACTTGCTCGGCCGTGACCTTTCCCGTGTTTGTCACCGACAGCTGAGCAATGACACCAAAAATAAAATGGTATGAAAATGTAATTAAATAAAAATACATCTGAATGTCACACTATGCCTTTGTCACTATCATTTTTATCGCAATTTCAATACAGTGATTTCCCTGTTGGTAAATTGCTTCGATGATTTATAGATTTTTCAATTGTGCTCTTTGGCCGTATCGAAGCTCAAACGACCACAGCAGATTTTACACACATTTTTTTTTCTTAAAGACGGACTGCCTGCCTGAGCTCACGATGCAAAAAAAAATCGTTACCGGCTTAAGTTATAAAAAATAATAAAAATGTATAATGCACATCACATCCTAGGATCCCAATGCATAAAAAGCAGGTAACAAAAAACAGAACCAGGGCCAACTGACAAAAGTAAAGATTGAAGGCCACCTTAAAAAGATGGGTTTAAAAATCAGACTTAAATATATCCACCGGCTCTGATTGCCAGATTTCAAGTGGCAAAGCGTTCCATAGCTTGGGTGCCACGATAACAAAAGCCCAATCACCAAAAGAGCACAACCTAGACCTGGGAGTGCTGAGCAGATGGAGATCAGAATATCTTCAGGACCTTAATAGAATATATCTGGAGTTTGCATCCAGCGGGGATACAGGGCAATGCAAATTAGATGAGTGTACATGGCGCATCATGACTTTGGAATATTTTTGAGGGATGGCAACTGGCTTGGGGAGGCCTTTGCCCAGCGGTGGATTGACCATGGCCGATGATGCAATTCGTCATGCAACAGCATACAGGTATGAGTTGACCTTACCTCTGCTAAGGAAGGCTTCCCTCTGAGCACCCGCATGCTCAGTGACCCCGGTTGAACTTCAATGTTGGGCAGTGAGTATTTGTAGTCGAGGAAAACTGTTGCTGTAGTCTCAGTTCCCAGCTCTGTACGCGCTCTGTTACGCACACAAAACACAAAGTTCCCCACCTATTCCCTGAACAGACTGTTGGGGCAAGTGTTGTTAGTGAGCAGCACCTATGAAGACCGGAATGGCACACGAGGTGGGTGGGTGGTCAACACCACACCCGGCCGCCTTTGCTTCCCCAATGCCGATGTTTACACAATGCAACAGGTACCGATTTGAGGCTGAGATGACCTCAGAGAGGCCCAGGAACCGGTTCAGACAATTGGGCCGCCGGGTCCGTAGTACAGAATGCTAACCACTCCACTACCGCTTCCCACACACACACACGCACGCACACGGATGCACACATGCTTGCCCGCACACCAAAAAAACATAACACAAAGGCATACTGTTGTTGTGTAAAATGGCGAGCGACAATTAACTTGTGATCCGGCAGTCAATCTCCTATCGGCAGGGGTGCAACTATGGATGTGTGGGTGTGTGGCTGTGTGGGTGTATATGTGTAGTGACATCGTGGGATGCCACTGTGCAGTGCCGGCCCGAGAGAGGCACGGCGTGCGGTGTAACGACATCGCGGATACCAGAAGGGTGTGGGTGTAGTACCGGCCCTAGAGGGGCCCGGTGAGCGCTGATTGATAGTGCTAGATGGCACCACGCTTGGCGTATAGTGCCAACCCTACAGGACAGGGTGTGGGAGTGCCAGCCATAGGAATGAGGATACTAAAGGCCATGGCACTCTGGTTGACCCGAGAGGACACATGACCAGTTAAGTCTACAAAGGGGCCCCAAGTGGGGGCTAGGGGGGTCACATGGATGGTTGGGGTCCAGATCCTGCTCGAGGATTCTGGAAGGTGGTCGTGGCCAAGGGAGCAGCCAGCCATGCCGCAGAGAATATAAGCCAGATCCCGAGAGGGTCCAGGGTTGTTGTTGTTCATCCTGAAGAAATTTTCGTCTAAGTTCTACGTTCTCCGTTCAACGAGATACGTCAACCCCACCGTTGGAGAGTCAAGGGTGCGACCACACAAAAACAATTTCTTACTTTTATATAGATAGATAGACTAGCGGTAAGTACCCGGCATTGCCCGGGCGAAAAAGGCAGACACACACATGGACTTAGACACAGACATCGACCCACACACATAGAAACACATCGACTTACACGCACATATGGACTCACACACACAGACATCGACTTTAGACACACACAAATAGACTAACACACACAGATAGACTTACACACACATATCGATTCACACATACATACATAGACTCAACAACAAAAACAACCGCCATTCTCCATTAAGTGGCGGTGATGTAACCACAACGCTTGTGGCAGACTATGTGCACCCGGAGGCTACGTGAAGTGTCGAACGCCCGCTGGCAGGAGGTCACGGGGCAGAGCCAGATGCCACAGGTCGACTGAATGAGACGACTGGCTGATGCAGCACCTGTGCCCCCTACTATTCCAACTTGCTGTGCTTTAGCCACCCGGCGCTCCGCTCGTTGTTGTGAGCGTCGCGTGGAGTGTCCGATGGTACATAGACTCACGCACATTGACCTTCACAAACACTCATATGGACAAAGACACACATATCTTCTAAGACACACACGCTGGGACTTACACACACATGGACCCACACACACACACATCGACTTACAGACACATCGACTCACACACGCATACATAGACTAACACACACACATATGAACTTACACATACATATCGACGCACACACACATTGCTGTACACACAGACTCCCACACAAACATACATGTACTCACACACCTACATAGAGGCACACACACATGGACTCACGCACGTGGACCAAAACACACACACAGAAAAAAACGGACTTACACTGACTCACACACATACAGACACATCGACTTATACAAACACATCGCCGCAGACATGCACATCGACCCACACGCACACATGGACTTAGACGCAGGCATTATTATTGTGAAAAGTTAGTAACTGAATAAAAAAAAGAGTAGTTGTCTACACACGCACACCACGTACACACACATGGACTTACGAACACACACATCGACGGTATGCACTATCACTCCAGCAGTGCACACGGACAGTGGAGATACCTGCTTAAACTACAGCAGTACAAACCGACTGTGGTGGTTCGTGATATCACTACAGCAGTGGCTAGTGACTGTGGTGTAACTTGCTATTAATACAGCAGTGCATCATGTAGTGGTACCAGCTATCAATACAGCAGTGCATACTGACTGTGGTGGTAGCTGGTATGATTACAGCAGTGCATACAGTGGTGGTACCTGAAACTTAATTTGGAGCTTTCGTGACTGCAGGAATTATTCTTTGGTTCTTTTGGTAAAGTCATGTATAAAGATAAAATAATAAATGTAATTAAATACTAGCATACGACGTTTCGATTGCAACACAAGCAATCATCATCAGGTATAAATTAAATAGAAACACAAATCTAGTATACTTAGAAATGTAATGTAATACAACAGAGAGTCGGATAACATAAGTCAACACCGTATCTGTTTGATTACGTTCTTCCTGAGAGAGAGATAAAACACAGAACCAGAAACATATAGACAGAAATATAAGCAGACAGATATCACAGAGATACATAGAGAGCACAAACATAGGAACACAGAGAAACTACGCCTCTGTGTCCAGGCCTTAAATAGAGAGAGGGGGCGGGGGCAGAGAGAGAGGGAGGGGTTAGAGAAATTAGTATGTCAATGAGTAGCACGATGAGTGGTACGGTGCGCGAAAGCTTGAAAAAATTAGGGGGCAGGGAGAGAGACACACTAAATTAAATAACCTAGCAAAAATTTTGAAATGTAATGCAATGCAACACAGAGGGTCGGTCAACACACAACGCATAGCCTGGTTGATTACGTTATTCCAAAGATTGCAAAATTAGAAGTTAAGTGTGAAATTTGAAAAAACACAGACACGAAGGCCGATACACAGGCAGAGAGAGACAACGAAAAAACCCAGCGAGAGAGAGAGAGAGAAAACAAACTTAAAACTTCCCCGTAGAAGTGGTTCAAACTTAATTTGGAGCTTTCGTGACTGGAGGAATTATTCTTTGGTTCTTTCGGTAAAGTCACGTATAAAGATAAAATAATAAATTAAATTAAATACTAGCATACGACGTTTCGATTGCAACACAAGCAATCATCATCAGGTATACATTAAATAGAAACACAAATCTAGTATACTTAGAAATGTAATACAACAGAGAGTCGGATAACATAACAGTCAACACCCTATCTTTTTAACTACAGCAGTGCATAGTGACTGTGGTGGTCCCTGCTATGATTACAGCAGTGCAAAGTGTGGTGGTACTGTACCTGCTTTCCGTACAGCAGTGCATGCATACTGTGGTGTAAGCTGCTATGATTAGACCAGGGCAAGTGACAGTGGTGGTACTTGCTCGCACTACAGTAGTACATGCTGACTATATAGCAGTATATATGGAATGTATAGCACAAAGTAGTAAGCAGACATTGCCGTAGTTGAGGCCTTGTCCCGCGCAGAGCCCCCGGGCTCACCTAAATTTCCCAGCCCGCCGAGGTGTGACCTTGGCAGGCTGCGGGCTGGGCCGGTTCCCCCAGCAACTTGACAATAATGTGATGTAAGTGCTATAAAAATGATATGTAGGGGCTCTTTTGTAGTTTCAGGATGCATTGGGGTATCATTGGGGTGTGGTGGGGAGAAGAGAACATCGCACAGTGAAGAATAAACGTGTTTGGTGTGTTTAAGCTGCATGTGTAAGGCAAAAGAAAATTTGTGGCGATCGTGTGTGCGTTACTAGGGGCAACCCATGTGGGCAGTGCAAAGTGTAATGAGATACAGTGGAACCTCGGTATACGACCGCTTTGGAATACGTCAAATTTGGTATACGTCGTGTTTTTCGAGAAAAAATGTCTTGGGATACAACGTCTTGCTTGGGATACGACGTGCTTGCTAGAACTTGTATGGGTCAGGATGAGTCACCGCCTACAGTACCCGCGTATGCCCCCCGTTCGCGACTGAAACAAAGCGAGAGGGGTGGGGTGGCGTGGGGGAGAGCGGCGGGGGTCGTGGGAAGGAGGGGCGGGGGATGTTGAGGAGAGGGGCGGGGGGCGTCGGGGGCTGCCCCCATTGGAGGGTGGAGCCCCGGGTCGAGGCGCGCGCCACGTGCGGGGTTGAGGCACGCCACGTGACCAGCGCAGCTGGCAGCAGCGCTGGTCACGTGGCTTCTGTATGCATTTTAGTAATTAGTGTCTAAATTATTTCATGCAACCCCATTAATGTATAATATGCCATATAAAATATCATTTATTTTCCTCTGGAACGGATTATTTCCTTCCCCTTTATTTATTATGGGTAAAATTCGTTTGGTATACGTAATTCTCGGTATAAGTCCTACCTTCTGGAACGAATTAACGATGTATACCGAGGTTCCACAGTAAATGCTTATAAGACAAAAGAGTGGGACTTACGTCTTATCTAAAAGCATATAATAGAAAAGTGTGCGACTTACCTTGGGCAATGGCACGTGTGGATTGCTGGTGGTAACTTCGTGGGCGCTGTGTGCGAGTGCAGCTGGCTGCGTTGTAACCCAGCGCGCGACGAAGGAAATAATTAAATAATATGCAAACTAACTTTTAGGTTTAATAAATATAAAAAACACACTAAATAATCTAATTTAAAGGTGACGGACGTGAAAAGGGAATAGTCCTATTCCCACCACGGGACTTAGGGCGTGCAGGCTGGCAATTTTTTTTGTACGTCAAGGCCACCGTTTGAGAGGCAAATCTCTTATAAGAGCATGCGCGCGGAGACTTTTATAGATAAAAACAAAGACACTGTAGGGGGAAAGTGCTGTTAGCGAGCACTTATGAAGACCGGCACGGCACACGAGGGGGCGGGTGAGAGCACTACGCCCGGCCACCTTTGTCTCCCCAGTGGCGATGCTCACACACAACAGAAGTTACTCGTTTGAGGCTGAGTCGACCTAGGGGAAGCCCAGGAGCGGTTGAAAAAATCGTCAACGGTGGTGGCCGTGAGCGGGAATCTAACTTGGGATCGCCGGGTTTGTAGCGCAGCGGGCTAATCAGTACACTACAATGCGTGACGCTTCCACATGCGCGGGTCACATGACAGATTTGACGTCACAGCTCACTTGCCGTGCAAAAAATATATGCATTATTGAGCTCCCCCCACCCCCCCCCAAAAAAACCCACAAAGTGTATTTTAATAATTTTTGCATGGTGTACAGTCTGGAAAGTACCCACATGGCAAATTTCAAGTTTGTTGCATGTCGGGAAGTACGCTGAACATTTTGAACAGACACAATCACAAATTTGCCTTTTACATATATGGAGATATATTGATAATTAATCATCCAAAATAGGTTTTTGAGTTAGGTCGCGATCTAACCCAAAAACCTCTAATATGGATAATATTGGTTGTGAAAGCATACGAGTTACTCAGACTAAAAATAATAAATAGGTTAATAATAGTGGTGGCTGGGAGGCTCGGAGGTCAGTGCTGAGCTAGCACCACTCAGAACCTGGGTTCAAGCCCACGTCCGTAGGGCTACCCTCCAACGAAGATGGTTTTGCATCTCCTGTTAGTGTTCCAAATGGACACTTCACCCGTGAAGTAATGTCTGAGTGTAATTGTGATAACAGGGGACGATGTAATGTGTTAACGTCACTCAAGAATCTATAGAGGATGTTTTTGTGGGTTAGATCGCGTAAATATAAATGTGTGTCGTTAAATCCGCCACCACCCGACATGGCCAATTAGTAAGGTTTGTCGTGTAAACAAAACGTGCCAATTCGTTACGAGTGTAGTCTGGTGAAATACGTTGCGCAAACTGTTGGCCGAGAGCAACCGAGGAAAAACACGTGCGCGTGTGCAACATTAGGTTGCACGGGCAAACCGACACCTAATTTGGGAGAGAAGCTGGTGCAGACCAGGTCGGCCCGGGGTTGCACGCTGACACCGGAGGTGTTGTCAGGGAGACGTGCGATAAGGGGTGTTTGATGGCCTGACAGGCGCCAGCCTATCTGGCCATAAAGAGAAACAAGGAAGGAGCTGGACAATTGTGGGGGGGGGGGGAATATAAGGACGCGCGTGAGAGCGGAAGGGAGTTCCTGTTACTGTGTTCGAGCCTCTGGGTGAGAGCCGCTGTGTGCGAAGCCTTGAATGCGGAGCTGCTGAGAGTGAGAGCTGCTGTGTGCAGGTTAGTGAGGTGTAACGTAGATATGAGTGGGAATTGGTTAACAGAAGTGAACGTATAGACAGCGATAGGAGTGCCTACAACTGGTGCGAGAATAGGCTAATAAAGTGTAATCAGGTGACTTGTTACAACGTGTCAGTCTGAGTGATTTTACAAGACACTACACGAGTACAGCATACCAGTGTGTTGGAGAGTAAACCACTACAACATTTACAATTGGAGTACCGCGAGGTTTCACCAGTAATTACAACAACCAACATCATCAGGCGACAGCCATAGTTGTAGAGAAATCCTCCGCCTGCTTTGGTCTTAAGAACTTACCTTATAACAAAATATGCATTGAAAGCATGGGGAGCATCTATCCAAAGAGAGATGGGCACTGAGCTTCCTGGGCCCAGGGTCTCCAGAAAGTTCGAGCCATTTTGGAACGAGACGTTCGACTTCATATAAGAAAGGTGATCTGGTATCTGTGAAAGGGAAAATTATTGTTGAAACGAAGAATTAAAAAAATCGCATGCACACACGTGTATTCTGCACCACTTTCTAACATTTGCCCTCGAAATAATTCAATTAGCGATATAATAATGCCATTTCGTTATCTTTCAAGTCGCATTATTATGACTTAGGTGTATCCGTTGACCACTTTTTTTTTTATTACAGCAGTCCCTCGGTGAAGTGACATCATCGGGTTCACGGTTGTTCGGGTTAACGTTTCGCCTCCCATAGGGACCCCCATGGTTTCAAGTTAACATTATGAATTGTGATGTAACGGTATTGTGTTTATGTTTATGCATGCGGGTGCCAATTTCGGCCAATCGAGCGCTTGTAAGTGGGGCTGAGCCACGCCCTCGGCCAATCAGAGACGCCTATCTGTGAGCGTTGAGGTCTCGAATTCCTTTGTTTACATTCTTACGTTTTCTGTCTTGGCAGTGGAAAAAGCTCTCTCGTGCAGACTCGGTGATGTTTTACTTATTTTTCAACTTATAGGTGAATTAGATTCACAGTTATTTTGGTTAACAGTAATTATTGTGTAGCAAATTAAAACGTTAACTGACGGATATATTATTGCCACGTTTTGGGAAAACCTGCGGTCAATCAATTTGGCCAAAATTCCACTTGGCAAGTCCTAAACAGCAACGCAAACTTACGCTGCGCCACAGAAATTTACGTTTTTATTTTATTTTAGATCGGATACAGAAGGGGGTGTACAGTAGAACCCTTCTTAACGACCACCCCGATTAATGACTAATCGCTTAACGACGGACCTCCATAGAGCCCAATATGTAGTGTATAGCTTACTGTAATGTATAGTGTAGTCTATATTTGAGTGTGTAGTAGCATAGTGTAGTGTATAGCGGAGTCCAGTGTATAGTAGTGGAGTATCCTAATATATAAACACCCAGGTCTGTCATTCTGTCATTGTGTGACTAACGCGGCACGGATTGGTTGAAGTGTGTCACGTGACCGGGACCAAGCAGCCAACCAGAGGTGCGCTCCTCACAAACAAGTTCCCAAGTACAGCAAAGCCATTCGCGTTCTTTTTAAGTTTTTAAATCGAACTTCACTATTAGCCGTACATCCGATCGTGTCTCAAGACATTAAGTGAATAAGTAGTTGAAGGTGAATTCTTAAAAAAATTAATCTGACAAACAATGAAACTTATATTTTGTAGACGATGGACAGAGACGAAGATCCAGCAACAAAGAGATGATGGCTAAATCTAGAAAGACAGCAGAGATGGATTCACAGACAAAGCCAATAAACTCTCGACAGGATCTGAGAGTTTCTTGACGCCTGCGGCGCCCCCCAACAACCTATTGAGACATATAAGTAAAAATGACGTCATGAACAAGGGATTATAACCTTTAAATGAAGTAGGTCTGTGTCACCGCGCCCTTACAAATTACACACGAATTAATGCAATGAATATCACGTCGCAGTCTGCTTTTCGCTTGCAAGTTTTAGATTTACTGCAATACTCCCATCCTTGGACGAGCAAAAGGCTGGTAGTATATAGAGTAGTATAAAGTGGTGTGCAGTGTATAGTAGAACCCTTCTTAACGACCAATCGCTTCACGAAGGGGCCTCCATAGAGCACAATGTGTTCGCTTACCAATCATTCCCCTGTTAACGGCAGGCTGTTGTAGGTAGAGTAAATATTAATTCATGCATTGATTAACCGTGTTTTTTCTATATTATGTGTTTATAATGTTGTTAGTATCTTTATGCATCAATATCCAATGTTTAAATATTATAAAGTACGTTTAAGGATAACTTTTTTATGCTAGCGGAACGAATTAAGCCTTTAATGTGCATTTTCTATACCTCACTTAACGGCCAACGACCGGTTTTGTGGAACCAATTACCGTTGTTAAGGAGGAGTTTTACTGTACACCAAGTGCGAGAACGGCCCCTTTTGCAGTGATGGAAATCACTGAGCGCACACTAGACTCACCAACAGCGTTTTTTTTTCCAGAGTGAAAATGAAACGCTGCTCTCAAACCAGTGCCCTATCAGAGCAACTGAGATATTCGTGAGATGGGGTGGGGTGTTACTGTGGCCCACTTCTGAGTGAGATGCCTCATGTATACAGGTGGGCTGTACCAAAGAAAGTTATGGGCCGTTACTTGGCCCTGCCGGGGGGCCATTTGGTGGCCCACCACCTACTACGCTCGTAAGGAATCGTCATTGCAAGTGCCCGACGGTGGTGAAATGAAGATAGGTACCTCTAACATTGTTTTTATTGTTAACTATTGTTTTTATTGTTACCAGGTAAGGCCCGCTACTGAGCTGCTATGTGACCTGGCCATCACAATGTCGTGTGTAATTTTACAAGCAGTCAAATGCTCTAAACGCACATTTCTAAATGTGGAGGGAAAAAAGCGGAGGACCCGGATAAAAATCCACGTGACTCCGGGGAGAGAGATACGCAAACTCCGAATATATGGCACGTGTCAGGGTCGGGGTGAACCCACGACCTCCTGCACACCAGGCGATGGAGTTAACATCTCGCACTGATGGGGGGGCTCCAGATAGTTTTTTTGTTTAATGGATAAAGGCGCAGCCCTGCAATTGGCTGGCTCACCACGTACCGGCGAACCAGTTAATATTTCTTACCATGGTGTAATAAGCAGCACACCGAACGTGCAATGGAGAGGTTGCTGGTTCAATGGTGCCCAACTATGTCCACGCTGTAGTGCGAATTGGTACACCGGTTAGTCGATTGACAGGTGGTGGGTGGCGGGGTGAAATGTGGGTACTTCCACCTCTCCAAGACACAAGAATCAGAATCGTGATCTACAATGGACGAATTGGTGACCTCTGAAACTCTTTTTCAAAGATGTCCAGATCTGGCCAGCGTGGCTTGTTGTGTGTTAGTCTGGTGTCACTTCCCTCGCACCTCCGATTAGCATGGTTAGGCTTACGTACGGTGGTGCCAAAGAAGTTCAATGTACGTACATGAAAATCTTTTCAGATGGGTCCACATCTGGCCAGCATGGACGGAGCTGCCAAATACCGCTCTCTACAGGGATTTTCCCTAGAGGCCCCTGCGATAGATGACCCTTTGCACCAGGAGTGGAGTGAGCGAAGGCACTGCTTACCTCCAATGTGATGTTGGACAAGCGTAACGGATGCCAAGTTGACCAAACTGGTAGCGTCAGGCCGCAGTTCCCGGATCTCTCCCCGGGTCTCGCCACTCATGTAGATGCCGCTCGGCTGGAACATCATCCCCAGAACGTCCCAGGACTGCGGTACGGCACCGGTTCGTGCAGCGGGGTGTCTCGCAACCTGGGGGGCGGGGGGGGTGAAACGTTGCATTCCAAGTCGCAAGGAGGCAATTTCACAAGCTAAGAACGCGATCCTAAAATTAAATGAGGTTTTTTAATTGAGGTTGACCGGGTTCCAGGTGGTCACACGAGTGAATGGAAGTGTTGTTTATGCCAATTTTTTTTTTCGGTAATCATTACTTCTTTAACACGTACGCTTTCACGACCAATATAATCCACAACAGAAGTTTTTTGTTGGTAATTACTGGTAAAACGTCACGGTAATCAAACTGTAAATGTTGGAGTGGGTTTACTCTCCAACACACAACCGGTTAGTTAGTGCTGAATTAGCACTTTTGTTTACATGACAACCCTTACCGATTGGCCGTGTCAAGTGGTGGTGGGTTTAACGACACACACATTTATATTTACTCAATCTAACCCAAACCCCTCTATTATGGATCAGCCGTGGATCATCACAAATAAGCCAAAAACACATGCGGATTTTATAGCTCATTTCAAATGGAAAACCCCTGCAATGTGAATGCCTCCCCAGACCCTGTGTGGAGTTATTTGACTATACTTCACCACGCTGGTGAGGGCCGATGTTGATGCGGGAGATGTGGGAGAGGCAGGTGTGGGAGGGGGGTAAAAAGGCATAGAAGCACAGTACAACAATTGATTTTGTAACACTACTTTCTCCCAACTACTGTGGTGAGCAGGCATTTTCTGTCACTGCGCCATTGTTGTGGAATTCTTTACCGTGGGAAATTCGTTCATCTGATAATGTGGACACTTTTACGTCTTGTCTTAATAACACATCTTATTAAGTCAGTTTATTCTATTTAACTTCTCCTTCTCTCTTGACGTTATTCTTACAAGGTGCCTTGAGACATTAGTAAAAGGTGCCTTACAGATCAAACGTAAATTGTTATTATGACCGATTCATAAAGCCTGTTTTCGCTCGGCAAAAGTTTTCAATAAATAATATAATGAACCTGATTTGATTTTTTTACAATTTGTATCGACGACCAGAGACCAACTACTCCAAAAATTGGTATTTTTCCGCAAATTTTTTTTACAACTTGATTAAACAACTTATATTTAAAGACGTATCTATCGGAAAACACTGAATTTAAAGAAAATGAATCAACTTAACTCTATGAGGGAAAGCTCATCTATATTTTACCATTTTAGAATTATTCAGATTTGAACATCATAAAATGTAGATGTTTTCGTTCAAAAACAGCTTAGAATCCGAAATCTCAAAAACAATATAAAATGGAACAATGGTTCCCATTTTAATTGTATTTGCTCTTTAACGCCCTATCAAACGAAAAAAATGCAATGTAATTTTTTCAATGGTTTCTGAATGACATTAAAAAAACATGTTTACGGGGCACGTGAAATCTAGATTTGGGGGCTGTAAAATGAAAAATCTAGGATTTTCAGATTTTTTTGCTGTTGTTTGCATCCTAAAAGCTACCTATGTACTGTACCTGTGGCAGTGAGAGCGATAGGTTTGGGGGCAGGGTGTCTCCTGATTGGGGAGGGGTTCGGATTGACACGAGCATGATGGATTGGACTCATTTACACGCGCCGCGCTAACCCATTAAGAGAACAAAGGGACGTGACTTGAGACCACGCCGACCACAATGAAACTCCACCTTGTTCACGGCAAGAGAGTCGGTCGTGTCGGTGTGTCATTCCAGCGACCATTGTCTTGGAGCCAGGAGTGTTTATGACAACAACTTGCAGGCCTGTGAGCGCGATCGACTGGGGTTCTGCTCTTGACTGCTGGGCTGTTTGCCAGTGTCACTCCAGCAACCCTCGTCTCTGAGTCAGGAGTGGATCGTCACAGAGGACCACCTGCTGCTGCCGTCAAAGTGGCCCTCTGCAAATGCTGGGGACTGCGGGGCATTGGTAGCTGGGACACTTGCGGGGAAGAGGGGAGGTGACCACCAGAGGGCTTGTGAGGTTGTCCCTGGAACGTTTTTGTTTAATCTGTTCCAGAACTGGGGAACACTTCATTGGGACCCTGGATGGTTGCTCCACAGCTGTCTCCCGTCAGCGTTCGTGTTTGAGGAGATCCGTGAAAGCTGGCATTGTCGGGTTGTTGTCTGCTTGTATTGTTTGTTGTTGCTGTAATGAAGGTGATTTGGGCTGCTATAATGGCTGGTGATATTTCCACTCCCCTGGAGAAGTAGCAAACTTGTTGAATTCAAAATAAACACCATTATTTTGCTGTATACTGGCCGTGATCCTTGTTATACTCCACAAATGGTCAGCGAGGGCGTCACGTGAAACAGTGGTCCCACCACATACTAAAGCACAGCAGTGCGAGTACTGAGAGCACCGTTACAGTACCAAATTTCTGTATTTTACCCTGTCGAGAAGTACTCTAGAGGTTTTTGAGACACAGATTAAGGTCTTTATTTATATAGATTATTACTGGTTAGCGCCACTGTACTCTATCACATGGCCATCTGGAACGTTCCCTCCCGATATTAGGAAGACACTGGGAGCTATGCACTTTTGCAGAATCAAGATTGGCAAACTAATTTCTTTAGAACTGCTGCTTTTTGTTGTGTTTAGTTTGTGATCCTTCCCCCCGGTGCCTCAGGTTAGCGTGGTTGGCTTCGTATGGTGCGAAATAAGTTCAACATACTGTACATATAAAGTGATTTTCTGCTCAAATGAGAATTGAGGCGGTGTCAACTGTCTAGACTGCAGTGGTTCTCAACCAGGGGTATGTGGATCCCTGGGGATACGTGGCAATGTCCCAGGGGGTACGCGAGGTGATTTATAAATGTGTGAAATTATATATTATACACCAGAGTCATTGATTAATAATCATGTTGCATGAATCTGCCGACATAAAAACTACAATAACATTTAAATCCATACGGTAACCTAGAACGATATAAAAGACCTTTCTAAAAACTTACTGATCGTAACCAATGTTGGTTTCTAAGAGTAACTAGCAAGCGTGAGCAAATTGCAGTCGCGCGTGCAGCACGTCCGTTGAAATTTGTTTTAATCATGGTGGCTGGGCAGATGTATTTCTGGCTGCCCATTCGAGTACAATCCAAGGCCAAATCCCGCTCAGCTTCCTCAATCTGATGAGATCGGGGTGCATTCTGGGCGATTTGGTTATATCCATATCGTGGTTGACGGAAATTATTAGTGGAATTGATACATCATGCGAGTTATTTATTGCTGGGCAAGTGACAGTAAAAAAAAAAACTTACCGCTTGAAAATGTCCTTTTTCATACGAGGTCGGATAAAATATCACCGCAAAATGGGTGCGATTTTTGCTGAGCGTCACACTCTCAATAGGTCCTCGTGAAATCTTGATGGACAATGCTGTGGCAGAACATCACGGAATCTTAGTTGTGATAAAACGGCAAAATGCAATGCACCATGGTGGAGGCATGGGGGGATGCACCGTGTGTACAGGCGTCTCTCGATTGACGAAAGGGAATCTTATATTTCAAAGGAATTTATATAGCGCCTTATCTAAGGCACTTTGCACATAATTAACAACGGTACATATGGATGTGATGGTGGAGATGAGGTGAATGAAATAGATGAGGAAGCAATGGGGGCAAATCTGTGATGCTGCGTGAATTTGGTGAAAGGTGAAATTGATGGCGGTAAATGATTAGTGAATTGAATGAATTGGAGTTAATGAGTGAAAGCCGTATAAAAAAATATTAAGAGGGAAAAGTAACGGTGGTGGCGGTTGCGAGGAGGAGATTGAGGGGGTCATGGAGTGAGCTAGGGAAACAATAAGTGTGAGTTTATGAGTGGGGAGCATAAACCATGCCAGCCGTTTCTGCAAACAAAATTTCGTCACAAACGGATTTTACCATTCAATTGATCTGAAAGAAAAATCAGGGATCATCATCGCAATCCACTGCTGGATGAAGGCCGCCCAAAAGCTACGGCCTTTCTCTCGCAATCTCGCAATGTAACAATTTGCCTACAAAACTTGCAAGCCAATATCGTCACTTCCTTCGCTCAGTGGACATCATCGCTCCCTTTGTGAACGCCTTCTCGCGGCATCTCGCCGCCCAAGCACAACTTTATCAACCACCAACCCGGTGTGCCTGGATTCCAATTAACGACGTCAATTTCGCCAAGACGACAATATTGCGTTCAAGGTGTAATGCGGTTGTAAACGGCCCTTCTGAGGTGCCGTCAGGGGGGGAGGAGTTAGGTCACGTGGGGGGCAGAGGGGTTGAGTATAGAAGGAGGGGAACCGGAAGAGCAAGAGGAGTGACGGGGAACCAGGAACAGAGGAAGGCCACGAAGGGCGAAGCAGGGTGTGGCGAGATCGTCACGAACACGGGGGGAGCGAGGATCGGCACCGTTGGCCAGCGGTGACCGACCCGAAGCAGCGAGGAGGCTGCAGTCAGCAGCGGGGCTGCACAGAGAGAGTGGGCAGCGGGTCTGCATACAGTGACAGCCAGAGGGTCTGCACATAGGGGTAGCAGCGGGAGTCTGCATAGGGGTAGCAGCGAGTCTGCAGGGAGGAGGTTACAGTAGATGAAGCAGAGAGTCAGAGGGGAGAGGAAGCTATAATAGCAGTGAATAGCCGGGGGCTACAAATACAGGAGTTATAACAGAGTGCCGTGTGGGTAAAGACGTGAACCTGAATAAAGACACGAAGACAGAAAGAAGTGTTCGAGTCCTTTTATTACACTGGAGTCAGAAGTGAAACGGCATGGCGAAACATCTGAGGAAGAAGAATATCCCATCTCCGGCGTCGGCTTCATCATCGGACGACGACGATCTTCCTCCTGAGGTCGGCTTCACTTCGGCGGAGGGAGAGATCCGTGAGGGCCCGGGTGTGGAGGAGGTTGCCGCTGCGTCCGACCCATCTGCGTTGAAGGACGAAGATTTAAGATGGACCCGGATGGCGGAGTAACTGGCGACCCTAAAAACCGTCATCACGGAGTTGTGTGACCTTG